ATTGGCCTGGGATTTTTTTTTTTTTTTTTAAGCTCCCCAGGTGATCTTCCCACGTGTTCTCCCAGCTAGGTGTTTCCATTAACGTCACTCATGTTGGGGACTACCTTGTGAGCACAGGAGTACTTCTCTAACCAGGGCCGTATTACAAGCATGGCTGAGCATCAGGACTCTGGAGTCACATGCCTGGGCTCCTCTCTGCTTTGTGATCCCAGGCAATCTCTGTTATCATCTAGAACCTTCAGTTTCCTAATAGGCTGATGAGAATAATTATAATAATGCCTGTAAAAGGGTTAAATCAGATCATGTAATATGCTTGTTACCACAATGCCCAGCACATAGATGTACTTAACAAATGTTAGTTGTTTTTGTTAACATTTTGGTTGTGATTGTATTAGCTTTTTTTCTAATAGGTGGTTTTTCCATAGGACCACACAAGTTAAGTTTAATTTCTTCCACACAGTATTTATTTTGTATCTATACATTGTTTAATGAAGGAAACTTGTAGGCTATCTTGTTTTTAAATTAAAAAAAAAAGATGTTGTGACTGTAGTGATTACATGTAACAAGACTTAGTGTTACAGTAAAAAGATGGCAAGGGTTACTTTTCTAAATATTTAGCTTAGTTTCCGTTTGCTTGGTAAGAAAGTAGCCACAGGGTGGCTCTGTCAGAAACCCACAGATTTCATTTCATAAGGGGCTGAGTGTGAACCATGATTTTTCTAGAATCTCTCTGGCAGGAACCTGCCCAATGATAATTCATTACATCTTTTCCTTTTTCTCAATACTATTTATATAACACCTCTGCAATATTTATGCCATGTAGCTATTGTTTTAAGTATTTGTATAAAAATAAACAAAGAGACATAATTTGCCCCTTCATGCCTGTCATTCAGTCTGGCAAGTCCTTAGAGGGTAGTCTTTCCTTTCTGATGAACTGTCTGCCCCCATCACAAAATGATTGTTCCAGAGGTTAAAACTTTTGCTAAAAACATTAAATTTCTAATGGATATTAACATACTTGCATTTACAAGCAGTGAAATTTGTCCTCTTCGTGTTGTTATTTATGCAGCATTAACCTTTTTCTCCAGATCATTGAGACTGAAAATATGATGGACCGAATTGTGACTGGCTTGTCTGAGTCTAGTGTCAAGGTGCGGTTAGCTGCCGTCAGGTATGAGCTTTAAATGGTCTGAATAAAAACCCTTTGCCGTGTGTTTAACCTGTTTCCTTTCCGGACCTTCAGCAAGTAAGCGCAGAATCCAAATGTTACTCAAAAGTATTCTCAGGTGAACTCATACAGTGTGTAACATCAGTTAACAGAAAAGCTAGCTGAAAAGCCCATGAAGTCCTGAAGTAGTTGAATTAACAATGTCTATAGATATACTTGAAGTGCATATTAGTAATTAGTGAAATGCCAAGCAAGCAGTGTGTTTGAAAAGTAAAAGTTTTGGCTTCTTTTGAAGCTAATTTTGATTATTCTTTGTAGATGTTTGCACAGTTTATCTAGATCTGTGCAGCAGCTTCGAACCAGTTTCCAGGATCATGCTGTGTGGAAACCTTTAATGAAGGTAAGAAGAAAGCAGCAAGTAGCACCCATTCCCACAGAGCCTTTATAGTGAGCCGAGGTAGCTGACAGCACTCCCTGGTGTAGGAGTATGGCTGGTTTTTGTGTGAAGGATTTTGAACATTTATCTCCTCAGATCTGATGTTTTAAGCATCTTTAGATCTGCAGAACGTGTTTCTAAGGTCAGCATCTCAACTGTAACAGGGAAGCAGATGCCTAGTTTTCTTTTATTAAATAAAACTTTACTCATCTGATCTCCCTGTATGGTTGGTATTACACTTTAGATTTCATCCAGAGTCTTTATAATTTTTAGTTACAAAAAGGAAAGGAATCAGTCATTTAGAGGTATAACCTTTTCTTAATCTTTTGGCAATCCCTGGATATTTTTTACCACAATGTTATCTCCTATTTCTCTACACCAAAATAACTTCTTTGGTCTTACGTCTTTCCTTCAGGACAAAAAAAAAAAAAGTTTAGGTCAAATAAATCCGAATCAAGACTTAGATGAGGTGTTAGGTTGCTGCTAATGTTATCCCCCGCTAATGTTACAGAACCGTGGGTCCACTTGGTCTCTGGTCCATCTTCTTTTTTTTTTTTTTAAGTGATCATACACCTTGCATTTAATCGACAGAATTTTTTATTTAAGGTTTTGGTTTTGGTTTTTGGTTTTCATTACCTACTGTGGAAACCTCTTAGGCACAGTGAGGCTACCAAAATTTTTTACTACAGAACTCTTGCCCTTGTCTTAAAGCTTCAGGTTACAGAGGGGCATCATTGCGGTAGAACATAGGGGAGGCTTCAGGCAGGAAAAATATGAAGTGGGCTTTGAAGGAAAAAGGAAGGCAGCAAGATTTTCCAGAGAGAGCAATAGCATGAGCAGAAATATTAAGTATGATCTGTGAAGGAAGCATAAGGATGTCTTCATGACTGTAGTAGAAGGGGTGTGGTGTATGATCACCAGGTGGAAAGAGCTGGACCAGTGCTCTCTTTAGGAAAGCTGTTTTGCCATGGGTACTCTTTCTTGTTTTACATTACACCTTTTGCATAGCAATGTAATCTTGATTTATGGATTCTGTCCATTCAAGATTTTTTTAAATGCTCTCCTATTTCCCAAAATAACTTCCAAATATTTCCTCTGGAGCCATTTTCTCTAATTGCTCAGTTCAGTACCCCTCTATCATGAATCAGAAATGGGGCAACATATTGTTTCTAGCTACTTCTACCCAGACAAAGGTTTGGTGAGCAATCTAGAAGGATTTTGTACACTTGGGTACATGTGAGTATAGTTACTATCAAACCACTACTTTGTTGCACAAAGTATAATACTAAAAGCTTGAGCTTGGAAGTCAATCAGTGATTTATTTCAGATACTTTTAGGTTTCTCTTAGTTCAAGGCTGTTTGCATGCCTATTGATTTTTTTCTCCTTTGGCTTTTCCATGTTTTCAACTGTTGGTTAGCAAACTACAGAAGAGTAGGCGTTAAATTTTAATTAAAAATTTTATTTGTGATTATTTTTTGTCCTTATTTTGGTGAAATTCTGTTTGGTCAGTGTTAGATGTCAGCTTCTGAATTTCAGTGTTGTATCTTATACCACATTGAGTAAATGCTTTTAAAATTTTCATAGGATCTATTCTGTTTTAGTTTATCATTGTTATCTCATTTGAAAATAAAACTTGATAAAAGCACATTAATCTCTATATAACAAAAAGTAGTATTTTTGAAGTGAATTGTATTGAGCAAAGCAACGTTTTAAAGCCTTGGTAGGCACTCACTTATTTCAAGCAATGATTCTAAGTAGTAGAATTTTGGAAAATGATTATTTTTCTTAATTCACAAACATTCATTGAGCACCCCTTTTGTGCAGTGCCATTCAGTTGATAGGGGCCAGGATAAATTAGACCATAGATAGATTCGTCCTTCAAGAAGCTTAAATTTGATAATAGAAAAGGATATTGGCATGACTGCACAAAGAATTTGAATAGTAGATAGTAATAAGGGTCCCAGGAAAGGTCACAAACAAAGGCTGTGGTTATTCAGAGGAGGATAGAATGACTTCTGACTGGAAGGGCTTCAAGGAGGCTTCTGGAATGGGGGTGGCCTTAAAAAATGAGTAGAGTGTGTACCTGAGGGATAAAGGAAGGGCATGGCAAGGGAAGGGAAAGGCTATATGATCTCAGAGGAGGTTGTGGCAAACACAGATCAGGATGCATAGTATATGAGATTTGATCTTCAACCAGCTGATAGTTCACAGGAGAGTTAAAATGCAGTATCTTAAGACAGCTATTTCTATTTTGTAATTTTGCTTATTCTTAACTTGGGAACTTCAGACTTGATTTAGCTCAAGAAAGCAGATAATATATTTAACTCTGAAGTTTTTTGTGATGATCCATTTCCAGTTTGCATAACAAGAGCTTCTAAGATTCCTTTTGGCAATCATGAGGTCTGATCCTGATCTAATCCCAAATGCAGAGGATTTAGTTGAAGTGGAAATTGCATATAAGTGGTGGTGTTTATGAAGCCTTCACCCTTAGAATCTAGAAAAATAGGCTCTGATAATAGCTAATAGTACTAACATTTGTCATTGTGCTCTCTTGTCTTCTGAGTTGAGTGAGAGTCCATGGCAGTTAGTTTGCTATATATCTACTATGTGCCTGATGATAACAGCAATTACAATAATAAATTACCTTTGTAAAAACTTTATAGCCATTACTGTGTGCCAGTTACTGTTCTAAAATCTTTTCATATGTTAATTCTCACAACAATACCATTATCCCCATTTTATAGCCAAGGAATTCATATACTTATTTAGTGTTTTGAGTTGAAATTTGCATTCAGGCAGTCTGTGTCCTTTACTCCCATGTTATGTTGCTTCCCTTAACATTCACCATATCACATTTAATCTTAAAAACTCCTGTCAAGGAAGTGTTGTTTTCTTCAATTCAAAGACTAAGAGAGAATAAGAAATAGGCTCAAGTTCACCCAGCTAGTAAGTGAAGAGGAGGGTTGGAACCAGGGCTGTGATTCCAGTCCTCAAAACCAGTCCCCACATTGCCCTAGCTGTATAGTAGCTTGATTCATCCCTGCTTTGGTCAAACAAGTCCTGCTAGAGACGCACACATCAGAACATTTCAGGCTCTGGGGCAATCTGTGGTTTTATAAGTGGCCTGATATGATAGAGTAAATTGAACTAACTTGTCCTAAAGCAGCTCCATGGTGTTCAAACTTTTCATATAGAGCACCCCCTCCCTGACTTATGTGTTTATCTCTTTCTGTGGCAGCACCTCCCATCCTGGCAGTGGGGCTGTAGCTTCTCCAGCAAGATAGGTGTGAGGGCCTTAGTCATAATTAGAGCACCAGGTGAAGTTTGACACGATCACAAGTGGATCCTTCCTACCTATCCAATATGAAAAGTCAAGTTGAAAGATAAATTGTTTTTGGGTTCTCATTTGTTCTTAGATCTCACCTCCATTGTTCGAAACCATTAATAGCATCCCTTTTTTAAATTCCATAGGTTTTACAAAATGCACCAGATGAAATCCTAGTAGTAGCATCTTCCATGCTATGTAATCTTCTTCTTGAATTTTCTCCAAGCAAAGAGGTTAGTATTGATTTTCTCTTCCTAGACTTTGCCCAGTCTACCTAGAACTTAGTCAAATAATTTTCACATTAGTTGACTCTGAAATTTCCAGATTGGGGTGTAAAAACTACTTAAGGGCAGGGGGGCGCCTGGGTGACTCAAGGTCATGATCTCACGGTCGTGGGATCCAGCCTGGTGTCGGTTCCGCAGGGAGCCTGCTTGAGATTCTCTCCCTCTCCCTCTGCCTGTCCCCCGTTCATTCTCTGTCTCAAATAAATAAATCTTAAAAAAAAAAAAAAAACAAAAACAGAACTACTTCTGAATTGTTTGGTGGTGTGTGTGCAAATAAAATAATTTTAAAATGTGGTTTAATTTCCTGTTCTCCCTTTTCTGCCTGGCATGTGCAACTTATTTAAAGGATATTATAGTTTATAGTTAATCTAAACTGCCTACAACTAGAAATCTAATTACAAAAGTAATAGATTATTTTCAAACTGTATATACTAAAGAATAAATTAAGGGTCAATTTTGTAAACCAGGATTGTAAGTCATTTCAGGGAGATTACTGCTAGAAAATAATCTTTTTACCTTTTTGGTGGGGGAGGGAAGGGGCAGACGGAAAGGGAGAGAGAGAATCGTAAGCAGGCTCCACACTGATCACGGAGCCCAACGTAGGGCTCAATCCACAACCCTGAGATCATGACCTGAGCTGAAATCAAGAATCAGATGCTTAACTGACTGTGCCACCCAGGTGCCCCAGGAAAATAATCTTTTTAATGTTTAATGTTAATGGTAGTTGTTTGGGGAGGGATTACATGTGGGAATATTTTTTCCCTTTTATACATTTTATAAATTTATTTGAGCATGTATTTTTGTACTAGGGAAAACTACAATAAACTTTAATAAAGGAGGGAGGGAACCTTACAGAGTTCGTTTCATCATGTTAAAATATCTCTGGTCTGCCCAATTGTGAGCTGAGGTTTAGACACTATCCTTTATTTAGTAGTTCCATTTTGATTGAATTTCCTTTTAGCATTGTAACACCTGTAGGCTTCTGACTGGTAATTAGGAAAGCATTTAGTAACAAGGTCGAGGTTCAGAGACAGTTATTCAACAAGCAGAAATCTTGGAACAAAAGGGGAGAGACTGGTAGTTACTCTGAAGGAAGAGAAAGTCGAGACAGGATGCCCGAGTTCCCATCTGTTTTCCTCTGCTCTGGTGGTTGGGGTTTTGGCATGATGATGATCTGGTTGCAGTCAGTACTATACCATTAATTACCCTGAACAGCACTCATATTGCCTCAGATCCACTTTCAGCATATATAGATGGGGTCTGGTTAGAAGTAAGGTAGATGAGCTCAGACGTAGGGTCAATAATACAATTGATTTGTGTGTGTGTGTTAAAAATAAACTGGATCCTGAACTGGAAGGGAAGGAAATGCTATAAAAGCACTTATTTCGCCAGTTGACAAAATTGGGATATGGGCTATAGATTTGATAAAAGTATTGTTTTAAAGTTCTCTGAATTTGATAACTGTTCTGTGATTCTAAGAGAATATCCTTGTTCTTAGGAAATATACATTGAAGTATTAAGGGCAAAGGGGCATATGATGTATATGTTCTACTTTCAAATGGTTCAGAAAAAGATGAAGAATGTAGATACGGGCATACAGAAGGAGATAATGATAAATACGGCAAAATGTTAAAAATTGTTGGATCTGGGAAAAGAATATGTGTTAGAAGCACCTTACGTTATTCTTGCTACTTCCTAAGTTTGAACTTACTTCAGAATAAAAACCAAAACAGGAGGTGGGGAGATGGGCAAAAATGGATGAAAGGGAGAGGGAGATACAGGCTTCCAGTTATGGAATGATGAGTAGGTTTGGGGAGTAATAGGGATTGTAATAGCACTGTATGGTGATACATGGTAGCTACACTTGTGGTGAGCATAGCATAATGTATAAACCTGTCAAATCATTATGTTGTACATCTGAAACTAATGTAACATTGTGTGTCAACTATACTCGAAATTTTTAAAAAGAAACAAAATCAATTTGTACAAGTAGAGGAATGTATATCCTTCAAAATGTCATCTTGAAAGTCACTGCCCTTTTTCTCCCTACGTAAGTCTGAACTGCTTAAGACAGTTCTAGAGTCCACTTGAAAGGGGGCCTTTTAAACGTTCATTGGTGACAGTAGATCAGTCCTCAAAGGTGTGAATTTTTTAGAAATTATCTAACCCTGTTTTCAGCCAAGGATCATAAATAAAATGAGTAGTCAAGCTAAAGCATGCTATTTTAGGTGGAGAATGTGATAGGACTATAGAAGTATACAACTGTTTTGCTTGTACAATTGATAGTCCTGAAAGTTCTGAAAAATGGGTTCTGCAGCATGTTCCAAATAACATTGACAGTTGGAAAGAAGATAGTTTGGTTTGTAAGTTCCATGTAAACCAGCTATGTTGTCATAGTCCCAGCTTGTAAAGGACACAAGGGATACACCCATGCACCATGCAGGAAGTGAGTGTCTCAAAGGACAGTTAGGAGAGTGTGGAATTAGATAGTGGAATCATAAGGGCATGTGCAGAATGTACAGAAATTAGGACAGCTCCTGAGTCAGAGCTACAAAGAAAAGAGAAATTACTAGGACTATTTTGGTTTTTGAATTTGTGAAAGACCTAATTGTTCTTGCCCTTTTTGTGGTAATTTTTATGTCCACCTCACTCCCTGCTATATGAAAATTGCCTGGAGTTGGGTGAGAGTAGGAAGGAAATCATAAGCAGAGCGCCAGGGTATATATGCACATTTAGTCACAAACCTGACTTTAAAACTGTGCTTTTTTTCCTTTCCAATCACAGCCAATTTTAGAATCTGGAGCTGTAGAACTACTTTGTGGATTAACGCAAAGTGAAAATCCCGCTTTGCGAGTGAATGGAATTTGGGCTTTAATGGTATGTTTACTCTTTTATATAAGTCATCATTTGTAAAGAGAATGGAGCTGTTATCAAAGTTAAAACTAAAGAATGAAATGTCTGAAAATGTCTGAAATTTGTTTTTATTTATTTATTTATTTTAAAGATTTTATTTGTCAGAGAGAGAGGGAGAACAAGCAGGAGGGGACCACAAGGCAGAAGGAGAAGCAGGCTCCCCACTGAGTAAGGAGCCTGACGCGGGGCTCGATCCCAGGACCTCGGGATCACAATCCAAGCCGAGGGCAGGCACTTAACCAATTGAGCCACCCAGGCGCCCCTGAAATTTGCTTTTTAATAAATGTTGCTATTTTGGCTCAGTTTTCTAATGACCTCAGACCTAGAAGACTTAGTATTCAGCTTTTGGATTTGAATATAAGCAAGTTATGTGGCCACTGTGTGCCACAGTTCTCCTGTTTATTATTAAAGAAAAGCAGACAGGTGTTAAAATTGGACATCTAATTTGGGAAAAATAAATTTTCCTCGTCATGAATATATTGATAACCTGCTTAGAGATATCTGCTTGATAGAGCCTTTTCAGGTCTCCTGTGCTCTTTATAACAATTCTGAAATAAGCTAGGGAGTATTCATATTTTACAGATGAGTAAACTATGCACAAAGTGATTAAATAACTTGCCCAGGGCAACAGAACTGATGCATAATTAACAATTTCTTAACAATTTCAAGTAAATAATTTATAATAATTAAATCATAAAACTATATAACTATGAAGTCAAAACTATGTAATTTAAAATTCATTAAAATATATTGAAGTTAAAATTTACATGGATTTCTTCAAATGTAATTATAGTAGTTATAATTTAATTAGTATGTACCAGCCACTAAGCAATGTGTTTATCTCTCATTGTTATCTCTAATTCTTATTTTACGTTATATTGGTTTATATCCAACTCGCAGTTGGGTACCTGGGGCTTGGAGGGTAAATGAATCATCCAAGGTGTCACAGCTAATAAGTGATGACAGTGGGTTCTGAACCTGTTTCAAACCCATATTCTTTTACCCTGTTCCGTGTATACCTGTTGTCTTTTCACACAAATTTGGGATAGAAATAATCATTTTCTAAAAAAGCACCAAATCGAATAGTTTCAGTTATTTTTCTCCTAAACTTTGCATCAGCTTTTAGCACTTCTCTTTGTTGAAACTCTTTCCCAGGACTTAATTTTTTTTTTTTAAACCTCATTTTCTACCTAGCCCCCTTTTCAGCCTCCTTCTCAGGGAATATTTCCCCATTTTCAATTCCCAGTTTCCAATTCCCCTTACACTTCAGTTTCAGGGACTTCATCTACTCTCATGGTTTCAGCTCCCCTTACTAGAAGTTACCTTGAGATATACATACCCAGACATAATTAATTGTTCCCTATACCCCACCCAGGTCTATTACTTAAATGGCCTATGAGACTTCATTTGAGGCCTCCCTGGGCCCCTGGGTGGCTCAGTCGTTAAGCGTCTGCCTTCGGCTCAGGTCATGATCCCAGGGGCCAGGGATCGAGCCCCACATCGGGCTCCAGCCCCGCATCGGGCTCCCTGCTCTGCGGGAGGCCTGCTTCTCCCTCTCCCACTCCCCCTGCTTGTGTTCCCTCTCTCGCTGTGTCTCTCTCTGTCAAATAAATAAATAAAATCTTAAAAAAAAAAAAAGACCTCCCTGATGTGTACAATTTTATTGTTGAAAATTGAACTTACCGTCCCACCCTCAAATCCATATTAACTATCTTATTCTCATTAGTCACCATATAACCAGCTGCTTTCTTCTCTGTCCACCAAGTATAAAACCGTGGAAGCGTGGAATCATTTTTGGCTTGGGTCTCTTGACACCAGCCTAGTCAATACTCTTTTCTCTCTGCCATGCTGCCTCACATCATTAGGTAACTTGATCTTTTGCATGGTTTAGCTCCTCGATTTTAAAAGTAAGCCTGGGGGCACCGGGTGGCTCAGTCTTTTCAGCGTCCAACTCTTGATTTCTGCTCAGGTCATGATCTCAGGGTCGTGAGATTGAGCCCCACCTCAGGCTCTGTGCTCAGCAAGGAATCAGCTTGAGATTCTCTCTCCCTCTCCTTCTGCCCCTCCCCCCACTCACACTTGTGTTTTCTCTCTCTCAAATAAATAAATAAATACAATCTTTAAAGAAAAAAATGTTCCTGTAGGGCAATGACCACATATTGTAGTAAGTCTCAAGTTTACAAAAAATTTTTATACCGAGAGTTGATTTATGAGTTATTTGGCATTTGCTGTGTTTTTATTTTCTTCAGATGTGTTATTATAGCTTCAGGTTAAGCTTGGGTAATCCATAATGTGTCCAGAAAGGAGAAAAAGGAGCAAAATAGATACCAGCCATCTGGGGTTGCTAGTAGGTTGGATGCACCTCCTACCCTTTGGGGATCTTCCTGTATAATATAGACCTGCCATATCAACAACACCCAGCATAGTATTGTGAATACAGTAGGTGTTTCTGTGCCAGTAAAGTTAACAAAACCCACTACTTATTTCCACCCATAATAAGGGAGTGCTTTTTAGTCATTCTCAAAATGGGTGGCATGGTGTAGTTATTAGTAGTAATTTTGTTATTAAAGTACACAGAAGGCGGGGTGTCGGACTGGCTTAATGGGTTAAGCATCTGACTCTTGATCTCAGCTCAAGTCTTAATCTCAGGGTCATGAGTTCAAGCCCCACACTGGGCTCCACACTGGGTGTGGGGCCTACTTTAAAAAAGAAAATGGTGCACAGAAGGCAACTTGATAACCAGAAACATTTCTGAAAAGTAACCAAGCTCATAGTTACAGATAACAGATCAGTGGTTACCAGAGGTGTAGGGGATGGGGGGGTAGGAGAAATGAGTGAACTGTTTTTTCGTTCGGGTTTTGTTTTTTGGGTTGTTTTTTTGTTTTTTTTGTTGTTTTATTTTTTTTTCAGTTTAAATAAATCAAATTTTTTAAAAGAAACAGTAGATTTTGTATTTATTGGATAAATCTTAAGAGGCTCAAATGCCCGTATCAGGAAGTGGTCATATTCCTTATACAGGAGTATATATAGGAGATAGTTATCTTTCTCTTGACAGACAGAATTATAGGTGATTAACAGGAATCAGAAAAATAATATGACTTAAATTATCTGCAACTTCTGTTTATACTTTGAAAATTGTCAGTTACTATCAAAATATAATTTAATAAAGCAAATTAAACATGATTTTTGAAACTTCTTTAATCCTTTCAGAATATGGCATTTCAGGCTGAACAAAAAATAAAAGCAGATATTTTACGAAGCTTGAGTACTGAACAGCTATTCCGGTTATTATCAGATTCAGATTTGAATGTGCTGATGAAAACATTGGGACTTCTTAGAAATCTCCTCTCTACTCGGCCTGTAAGTAAAATCATCCAGGTTTCCACATTAGCTGACCCTGCATATGCAGTGTAAAACATTGCCCTCCCTCACTTCTCCCATCAGCATCTGCCCAGAAGTGTGATTCAAATGCTGTCCCTTCCCAGAGAAGTGAGAAGTCAGTATCTAGACCTGTCACCTTCATAGGTGATCTGGGAGCAGCTTTACCATATAGCCACCTGACCCTCCACTCCTGCACTGCCTGTTCTGTCTCCCTCTCCCTACTCCATGCTGGATATGAGCCTGCCTTGATTTGTTACTTTGTTCTTTCTTGGTTTGCTGGCCAGAATGGGTTTTCTCATACGCTTAAATCACTTACTCTGGGGCCTCTGCTTCTTTCCCTTTAGAGAATCCTTCTCAGTGTTATTCCATAGACCAATCCCCACACTGCCAACATTTACTGGATTGACCTCTGAAGATGTCAGTGTGGAGAACAGTGGATATATGTCAAAGCAGGAGAGGCTGAGCCTTTTTCTGGGGTCCCTCTCGTTGTTCCCTGAGCAACAGTGTCAGTGGCCTTCAGGTAGATGAAGAAACATGGGTGGTTCCTTTTTGCTCCACTTGTTTTCTGAACCTTCTTTGTACATTTGTACCCCACAGTATTAGTAAATCTGTGCCATATTTTCCATGTCTCTGGCTTCTCTTCCCCATCCATTTTTAAGTTCCTTTTTCTTTAATATCTTTGGACTTGAGGATCCCCAGTGATTGCAGTTCTGTATTCTATCAGGCCAAGTCATTTTTAAACTTCAAGTTTTAAACACACACACACACACACACACTCACTCACTCATACATACACAGACACATACATAGAAGGCAAAATGCAGTTTTATGCTATAATAAACACTATTCTTTGGCCTCTAGTTCTGTATGCTATGGTGTTCTCTTTCAAGCAGTTGTGTATTATATTGTTTAACTTAGAAGCTTTCTGTTCCTTTCTATGATCTTTTTCTTTGTTCCCCAGATGATAACTGTGGATTTCCCATTGTTTTTGCAGCATATAGATAAAATAATGAGTACTCATGGAAAGCAAATTATGCAAGCCGTCACCCTTATTCTGGAAGGGGAGCATAACATTGAGGTCAAAGAGCAGGTATGTGTTCCTTTTTTTTTTAAATTTATTTATTTATTTTTTTTCCTGAGAAGTATCTTCTGAGTGTGAATACCAAAAAGGATCTTCATTAGGAGTCTCCTGAAATACTCAGATCTGCGAAAGACAGAGTGCTGAGATGGAAGGTGCTATAGAGACAAGAAAGATTTGAGGAGAAAGATCCTCCACCACCCCTGAAACTATTCAAGAATTCTTCCTCCTAGAATAGAAGAAAATATTACAGAGTCTATAGTTTCACCCTCTGTGTCATGCACTGTACACACAGTCCCTGTCTCCATAGGGATACCACCTTTGATCATCCTAGACTGAGTCCACTCTCTCGGATTCATCGTTTCCAGCTTTCTGTATCCACCATGCTCTGAACTCAAATTCCTGCAACACCCTGATAAAATAATTCCTTATGCTGGAGTGTTTTTCATTTTTTTACTCTAATGTATCCCTATTCTTTATTTCTATCCCATACTTCTACTTTCTGTTGTCTTGCAGTAGGGCCGATTTAGGATAGGCATAAAAATACAGAGGCTGTGCACTCATCAGGGGACAGTTGTAGAATTACTTTTCTGTATTTTCTGGGATTTATTACAGGATTTTTACATAGTATATGTTTTGTCATAAAAAAGGTCACCTACAAACTTAAATTTCTAATACAAGATCTGAGGCAATGGTAATGTTCAACTTTCTGACATAGATACTAGCTACATGATGTGTTCACTTTCAAAATTCATTGTGCTGTATACTTGTATGTATGCAGGAAACTTGCCCAAGGTCATCAGTGGGGAGTTGAACCTAGGGTCTAACTGCAGGCCCATGCTCTGCATTCTCTGTGTTCCTGAATTAGAGTAATTCTGCAGGTTCAGAAGAACAGTCCAGGAAGTAAGAATGGTAGGATATAGGAGCTATAGTTGAATTTATGAGCAAAAAAGGCAGTAGATTTGACAAAGTGGTTTTAGGATGGACATTTTAGGTGATTTCTCTTAAAATTCAATAATAAACAACCATGTTTTCTGGTGAAAAAATTCAACACAGAGAAACTATAATCTCAGGCATCACTAAAACTAGGTTGAACATGATCCATTACTGGCACACAACAATGAAGAAGATGCATTGCTCAAAATAAACTATTCACCTGGGGGCGCCTGGTCTCAATGTCAGGGTGGTGAGTTCAAGCCCCGTGTCAGGCTCCACGCCCAGCTATTTTACTTAAACTATTTTACCTGAAGAGCATAGGAATGAATTTTGTCTATAAAGACAGCTCACCCAGATAGAATTCCGCTAACTTGAAAAGTGAAGCAAGGCAAAAAGGTGAGGCAAGATTTGGATGAGGGCAAAAAAAAAAAAAAAAGCCAATGACAGTAATGTGTTCTGACAGGACTCAAATTACACACTTTCATACAGATTTTGGTGATGGTCCAGAAGTAGGTGATGATGGGGAGGCTGACACTGTCTGGTTGTTAGTTGGAAGTTTAATTCTTCTCAGACACTTCTGATAATTCAGCATTTTTTTTTCTTGAGGTATGTTGACATACAGCAAGCTACATATATTTAAAATATATACTGTGATATGTTGACATATGTATATACCATGAAATGATCCCCACATTCAAGATAGTGAACATATCTGTCACTATCCTTATATTGGGAAAAAGACAAATATGTCCATTGTTACCAGTCTTATTCAGCAGTGTATTGGAGTTGCTACCAAGTGCAATAAGACAGGAAAAAGAAATAAAAGGCATATAAATTGGAAAAGAAGAAATAAAACTATTCCCAGACAACATGAATGCCTATGTAGAAAATACCATGGACTCATCAGAAAAAGCTAGAACTAATCAATGAATTAGCCAAGGCCACAAGATAGAAAAACCAATTGTATTTTTAATATGCTAGCATGAACAAGTAGAATTTGAAATTTTAAAAACAGTACCATTTATAGTAGCTCAGAAAAAATGTGCAGGATCTCTGTGCTGAAACAAAACACTGATAATGAATCAAAGACCTAAATAAATGGAGAGATATACCATATTAAAATGTCATTATGTGTTATCCTTTACATATGTTGTTGGATTTGATTTACTGAAATTTGGTAAGGAATGTTTCATATCTATATTCATGAGAGATACTGATGTATAGTTTTCTTGTGATGTCCTTGTTTGGTTTTGATATTGATATTTGATTATTGAGATAATGCTTGCCTCAGGGAATGAGGTGAAGGTATTCCCTCCTCAGTCCTCTGTAAGAATTTGTGAAGCATTGGTATTCTTTCTTTCTTAAATTTTGGTAGAATGTACCAGTGAAGCCATCTGGAACCTGGTGTCTCTTTTGTGGAAGGGTGTATAGCTAAATTCTGTTTCTTTTATGGGAATAGGAGTAGTCAGGTTATCGATTTCTTCTTGTGTCAGCTTTGGTATTTTGTGTCCTTCAAGAATTTGTCCATTTCATCTTTTTCACATTTATTAACATAAAATTGTTCATAATATTCTCATTATCTTTTTAAAGTCTGTAGCATTCTTTGCAACATCCCCTCTTTTGTTCTTTATATTGATAATTCCTTTTTCCCCTCATCAGTCTGGCTAGAGGTTTGTAAGTTTTTTTTTTTATCTTTTCAGAGAAGCAGCTTTTGGTTTCATTGATATTTTTCCCCCTGTTACTTTTCTATTTCTCTATTTCAGGGCAAGATAGATATTTTAAGTTTTGTAGGCCATTCAGGCTCTGTGGCAACTACTCAACTGTGCTGTGCTAGCCTGAAAGCAGGTGTAGACAGTATGTAAGCAAGTAGACATGGCCATCTTTCAATAACATTCTATTTACCACACAGGGAGTGGATTGGATTTGGTCCACAGGCCATAATTTGCCTGTCCCTACTCCCTACTCTATCATTAATTTCCAGTTGTTCACATGAGTGTGTGTGTGTGGGGGGGTGTGTTTGTAGCTTTTCTCTCTGCTCCCTAGCTTATATGTTAAATTGGCTTGGCCCAAGAACTAATTGATCTCTAACATTTTTACAGTAAGGATTGTGGGGCTTTAAAACAACTGTGTAGCTCACGCTGCCATGCTGTTCAAGCCTGAGGATGCATGGGTATATTCTAACACTCCAAGAAGGGGAATCACTTGCCTATCTTGCTGAACAAGTCTGTTCTCAGAAATATTTCATGAAATCCCCCTCATATTCTGTATTAGTGGGTAAGAGAGGGGTAGCTCTTCCCTAGATGAGGCTAAAGATGTTTGTTACTCCGTCCTCTTCCCAGAGGCAGCCTCTTTTTTTTTTCCTTTTTTTTTTTTTTTGGTTCAAACCTCAGGACTCACTTCTTAATCAGTATGTTAATCTAGGAAGAATAAGACTACACACTCTTTATGTTTGAAGCCTCAGGTCACAGGAAGAAAACAATCTCATCAATTAGCTATAATCTGCAAGCTTAATTTGCTTAAGTCTACCAAAAGAAAGGTTAAGTTTGGAGAAAATTACTTGAATTTAGACCCCATTCCCACTTCTCATCACTTTCTTTGAGTGGTTCCTTACTGTTCTCCAGGACTCAGTGTCACTTCCTCCAAGAAGCCTTCCCTGACCTTTGCAATATCAAGCAAGTGCACTTCATGCCTTCTCGGTCCTGTTTTTCCTCTGTCACACCACAGTGAAATATAATTGTGTGACCGCTTCAAGATTAGGTAGTGCGTCTTATTCCTCCTGTCTGACCCTGATGCCCTGCAGAGTGCATGCACATTGTGGGTGCTCAGTAAATGTTTGTTGAATTGCAAAGACTGGAACGGGCTCAGTTTCCTTTCCACAGTCCTTTCACCTTTACTCTAAACATTGCCCTCCTCCTGGTCTGGCTGTGAGATTCCCAACAGCTGACAAGAATGTCCTTCCAGTACCAATGTGGTGATTATCTTCAAGTTACACTGTCCTGCCAAGTGTTACAGTCTCCCTCCAGTCTCATTAGGCCACGCTCAACTAAGCTTCACACATTTTCCTTACCTTTCTATTCCTCTAATCAGGTTTTAAAAAGTCAAGAAGTCCTAAGTGCACATGGCTAGTGGACCATGGTCCAGGCCTTCACCCAGAAGGTCATGAGCTTGGGAGCAAGAAGCATTCGGAGGGGGAGGGAGGGAAGTTGCAGCACCTATGATGCTTCCACCAAAGAGACTACGCTTTTGAAGAAATATTGTTGGGTTAGTAACAAGAGCTTCTCTTAGAAATGAAATAATAACAATTCACATTTTCCCTTTGATTGATGTGTGTAAGACATGGCTGCCTTTACCCAGTGATGGCTTATGCCCCAAAAGAAACTACTGAAATGTTTGGGTTCTCTTTTGCCTACGGTAGACTTTCGTTAAGTGTGGTTTCTTTTGTTGGCAGTAATGTCAGGAGATAAGAAATCAGAGCATTCAGAGTAGAACTTGTGAGAATCCATGTACTTCAGGTGGAAATTACTCAAGTTCTTGAGAGAGCTTGCATCTGGGGACTTCAGAGCTTTCCTGATCACCGGCCCTTTGTTCTTTTCCAGACACTGTGCATCTTAGCCAACATAGCAGATGGGACAACAGCAAAAGAACTTATTATGACCAATGATGACATCCTGCAGAAAATCAAGTATTACATGGTAGGCCTTTGTCCCTTTCACTGCTCTGTAGTAGCTGCATTAGGAGGCTCAAAACAAATTGTGCAGAGATTTAAAAAAAGAATAGACTACTCTGTCACAGATTCAGGGAACTCTCTTTTATCCTGAAGAAAAAGAAACAGACACGAAGGCCTTGAAGCTTGTGCCATTCGGGCAGTACTACTGCCCATTTATCACCCCACTCCCCATCTTCGTTGTCTTCTGATTGCCTCCTTCTTAATCAGCGAAGACTTCGGCTCTTGGTTTTCTTTCAGGGCGTCCAAATCCCTGTCTTCCCTCTCGAGGCTTCTCTCTGATGTGCATGACCTCTTAAGCCTCTGGCACCTCTGGCACTTGTTCTTTGACCTCTTTGCTTGCAAACACAGTCTGCTACCTACTTGCAAACACCTCAGCCACCTACTGCCACGGCCATCCCATGAATCTTGTCATCACCAGAAACTGCCCATTGCCAAATCTGGCAATATTTTCATTCTGTCAGTTTTTGCCTGCCTGTCAGAGTCAGCAACTGCAGAGAAAGGCACAGAACCAGGCTGATTGGTATCGTGTTAATTTCCTGTTTACAAAATCCCTGTGGGTACTCAGCACTGCCTACTACCCCTTTGTGATTTTCCAGCAAGCTGACACCTCCCTTCTCCATGAGGAGGTGTCAGCTCCTCGTTTTAAGCCTTTTCTCTCCCTCATCTCTCTTAGTGGTGACTCACCTTTTGTTTTGTTAAGAGAATAGAAGCCACAGTCCTTTAGTGGCTCCCTTTTGCACCTTGAATAACATCCATATCCCCCTTGTGATGGCCTGTGAAGTCCTGTATGACCTGACTCATCCGTGTCCCAAATCCTGTCCTTCCCCTTTCCTTTGTTGATTACATTGACCTCCTGTTCCTCAAAAAGCCCATGCATGTTCTTTCCTGCCTCAGGACCTTTGCACATGCTGGCTCAGCTGCCTGGAACACTTTTCTCCCCCACTCCTTCATGGCATGTCTTCTCACCTCTCAGATCTGAGCTCAACTGATACTTCCTTGTGGGCTCTTATCTATGTGGGTTATTCTTTGTTACTGCATTCTGTTCCCTTCAGAGCAGTAGCTCAATTATAGTGATACACATGTGTTTGTGTGCCTGAGTGTAAGTTCCATGAGGGCAAAGCTCCATGTGTTTTGTGCACATTTTTATATCTGTCACCTGGGACGATGCCTGGCATTTAGTATGTGCTCAGTAAATATTTGTTGAATGAAAACCGTACTGCTTCAACCAGGAACTCCCTCATCTTTCCAATCCCAGATCTACATAGCATCTCTAATCTTTTCAAAGTTACTCTTGATTTCCCATATCCACTGAGATATACCTATTTTTTTAAAGATTTTATTTATTTATTTATACCTATTTTTGTGCTGCTTTTCATAGCCAGACTTCTTAAAAGCATCTTCTGCACATGCTATCTCCTTCTTCACCTTTAAATTCATTCTAACCCATTTCATCCGGCCTCCACTGTCATCACTCAACTGAAACATCTCTGCTTAAGGTCTCCAGCAACCTCCAGGATGCCAAATCCAAAGGACCATTTTCTCTCCTAATCTCACCTCACTTACAGCAGCCTTCAACTCAGCTGACCATTTCCTCCTCCTAGAAACATTCCTTTCTCTTGGCTTTCAATGCAGTATCCCTCCCTGCTTAGCTAGTCCCTCTTCTTGACTCTCCTACATGGTCTCCTGAGGTCTGTGATCTTTGTTGCATGATGGCATTTTCCAGGGAACTTTCAGAGATGGTTGCCTTGTCCTTTTCCTTTCAAGATTCTGATTTAATAGGTCTGGGTTATAGCCTGGGCATCAGGGTTTTTAAAAGTTGCCCAGGCAGCATGCCTGGGTGGCTTAGTCATTTAAGCATCTGCCTTCAACTCAGGTCATGATCCCAGGGTCCTGTGATTGAGCCCCTCATTGTGCTCCCTGCTCAGCAGGGAGTCTGCTTCTCCCTCTCCCTTTTCTCCTCCCCCCACTCATTCTCTCACACTCTCTCTCTCTCCCCCTCAAATAAATAAATCTTTAAAAAATTAAAATCTTGGGGCACCTGGGTGGCTCAGTTGGTTAAGCATCTGCATCTGCCTTCGGCTCAGGTCATGATCCCAGGGTCCTGGGATCGGGCCCTACGTCGGGTTCCCTGCTCAACGGGGAGCCTGCTTCTCCCTCTCCTCCCCACTCGTGCTCTCCGTCACTGTCTCTGTCTCTCTCAAATAAATAAATAAATACATACATACATAAATATCTTTAAAAAATTAAAATCTTTAAAAAAAAAAAATAAAAGTTCCCCAAGCAGTTCTTATGTACAGCTAGAGTTGAGAACCACTGATTTAGGAGAATCGCATTTACTCCCATGCCTTTTACTATCATCTATATGCATTTTTGGTTTCTGGGTTCTGGTCTAGTAGTCAGTTTTGATAAATAGAATAGACATTACAGTATTTACACTTTGTGTAGTATCATCAATAGAAAACACAACCACAGTAATGGTTACTGGCCTTCAGAAGCCATGACAACAAGCTTTCATGATGGTACTTGCAGCTCTACAGATGCTGGTTCTTTTCTTAGTGGGGGTGGAGGGTAGAGGAGCGAGGTAAGAGGGTCACGTGGAAGATAGACTCCCAGATTTGTCTTCGGAACTCTGGACTCCTACATCCTCCTGCCTACATTACATCTCCATGCACCTGTCTGATGCTTCTGAAGTTGATGTTTAATATCTCCCCTAAACCTAAATTTCTTCTCTCCTGTTCTTTCCTGTCTCAGTACAGTGGCTCTGCCGTCTATCCTGTTGCTCAAACCTGGGAGTCAATCTTGGTTTCTCCAGCTCTTTCACCTCAATCTGATTTATCAGCAGGTCTTGTCAGCCCTTCCTCCAAACCTGATCTGGATTCTCTTTGCTTCTTTCTATCACCCCTTGTCCTCACCCTGGACCAAGCCATGGCATTTCATGCCTGGTTGACCACAATAGCCTCCTAGACACTTCTGCACTGTCATCCAATTCTTTCGGCCCAGGTGACCTTCTAGAAATGTAAATCAGATCTTCACTTTCCACTGCTTAAATCCTTCAGGAGCTTCCTGTCAACTCAGAGCAAAATCCTTTCTCTAGGACCCAGAAGGGCCCACAATTTAGCCACACCTCCTTCCCTGAACTAATGTTGCTCCACTTTACCTCCTCAATATGCATGAGCTCTACAGCTCCTTCGTACTTCAGACCTTTTCAGGAACTTTTCCTTCCTCTCAGTGCCCCTAGGCCCTTGCTCTTTGCACAGCTGGCACCTTCCTACCCTTTAAGTCTCTGCTTAAGTGTTGCCTCCTTCAAAAAGATCTTTTCTGTGCTCTCTACCTAAATTATGTTCCCACCTCTCCAATCTCCACTTTTCTCCGCAGCAGTTTGTTTCCCCCAAAAAATATGTATTGAATGAACTTATACATTGTAAACACTTATTTTTGTACTGTGTATAAGTTCATTTATTCAACAAATCCCCCCTATTCATGACCTGAGGCTGAGAGCAAATGATAAATTTTGTTCCATCTTGTCTTTGTGGAGCCCGAACTGGGAATCTCTTTAAAAGTCTTGGCAGGTAAAAGGAAAAGAGAATCACCAGCCATAGAATTCTAGTGAAGAAAGCCACGTCATCCACTTCTTGTCTCTGCATAGTTGAAATATAGTCCTACTTGGCAAAATAAGTCCATCTCATCCTCCAAGAAACTGTTGAGCATATTATGCCACTGATAATTCCTTAGAAATGCATGTTATTTAAAAGTACAGGGGACTTTTTTTTAATTGACCAATAGGAAAATCATCTCTCGAGATTGTTTTATTATTGGATCCTCTATTGTGTTGGAGAAAGCACTCCGTATGGCTAAATGATGCAACTTAAGCAAAAGTGGTTGTACTTTTAGTACATAAAGAAAAATAAGAATTGTGTTTCAGAAGAATAGGCTCTTTAACAATAGTAGAAACATTAGATGAATCAAGTAAAGACTCAGGTGTTGGGGGACAACCCCCCCAAAATAAGAGTAATTTGAATCAGATAATCAATAGCTGAATACCAAAGCCACATTCATCCTATTTATTGGCCACTGGTGACCTGAATGTTTCCTGATGTAGATCAAGCATAGCCTAAGTCTAAAGCATAAACCTGTCCTATGCCAGTTTGTGTGCATGGATAGAGTGATAAATTGCAAACTACAGTTATAGCCCTAGAGGTGTTTTGTTTGGCCTGTCAGAGGGTTTCTAAAATTTGAGTGTGAATATCTTTTGGCAAGTCTTCACTCCCCAGTTTACGAGATTTCCCACCACTCTCTCTTGTCTTTAGCACAACCCATTTACCCATTAGTGCTAACTTTGTGACCCCTCAAGACATTTGAGTTTGAGGGCCCTGCTTCACACTTTTAGCCTACTGGAATTGCCTATGGTATGTTACCAAAAAAATTCCTCAAATCAGATTGCCTCCATATTTTTTCTTTTTCTGCATCAAATAGGGTCATTCACATGTGAAACTGCAGCTGGCCGCTATGTTTTGTATATCAAACCTCATATGGAATGAAGAGGAAGGTAAGAGATTGGTGAGATCTGTTTTGAGGACAGTTATGGGTGGGAAGGTAGCAGATGCCCCTGAGATCCTAGGTGCAGGCATCACTCAGTGGGTCCTGAGCACTCATCCAAGTTAACCTTGGTATGAGAATCCATGGGACGAGCCAGAGTCGGCTGGACAGTTAACACTGAGCCCCACCTTAAAGTCAACACTGTAGGAGATTACAGAGGATGGGGGTAAAGGAGACCCTAGAGAAATAAGTGGCAGTCCATGCTGTTGAGAGAGCTGAGGAGGAGGTTATGGGGATGTACTTGAAGAAGATGAGAGGTGGGAGTGGATGGGCAGATTGGTCTTTCATTGTGTGCAGAGGGGCACATGTAAGGGTTACAGGCATATAAGCTTAATGAGGAAGAGGGTGCCTAATTGAGAAATGAGAAATACACTGCGACTAGTGAAGCAGCCAGTCTATAAGGTGGCCTCTGTGGATCAGAGGTCCTCTACCTTGACTGCATATTAGACTCACCTGAGAATTTTTGCATCAGACCAATTTAATCAGAATTTCTGGGGGGCGGGTTGCAGGCATAAGTTTTGTTTTTGTTTTTGTTTTTAATTCCCCAGGTGATTCCAATGTAGCAAACAAATATGGAAGAGCAGTGGTTCTCAGTGCTGGGCTCACTGCATAAGAATCACCTGGGGAACTTTTTAAAATGCAGATTTCTGATTTTTACACCTAGAGATTCTGGTTCACTGGGTCTAGAGGAGATCAGTGCATGAGTGAGTCACTGCAGGTTCTTCATGGGAAGGAAAGACTCCAAGAGGATTACCCAGCAGCTGTGTCTAGAACAAAGTGGAAGGAGGAAAAATTGGATTCAACATATAGGCCTAGAGACCAAGTACCATCCAGGTGCCAGGGAAACAGCCACCCTCAAGGAGGTCCTAGTCTAGTTGGAAGATAGGACAGAGCAGTATGAAGTTGGAACTGCCACATGCTAAACAAGAGGCAGCAGGGAGTGCTGGGAGGTCAGAGGAGGGTGGAAGAGAACAGAAGGAAAAATAAGACCTGTCTGGAGTAGGAAGAGCCTGACTTGATATGTCCAGACAGAAGATATGAAGATGGGGCCAATGGCAGAGGGCCTTGTGCCAGGCTGAGGAATCTGACCTTGACCCTGTAGTCCATGGAGAAATTAATCTATCGGCAGAACCCAGGATGTACTGCAAGAAAGAGGGTCAAGGAGCAGAGAGACCAGTTAGAATGTTGTTAGAGAATCCAAGCATGAGGCAATCCAACTTCACTGGGGATGAGGGGGATGGAAGGGTGGGGAGTAAAGGACCCTGGTAACGCTCTAGATTGTTGATTTTACATCAAGGAGAGCAACTGCCTGGGTCATGTCCCCAGTAACCTGTTAGCTTTAATCTCTTAGGTTCACAAGAACGCCAGGATAAGTTACGAGACATGGGCATCGTAGATATTCTACACAAACTGAGTCAGTCACCAGATTCAAACCTTTGTGACAAGTGAGTATCAAAGGAAAAGGGCCTTGTTTTGGGGTATGTTGGATTCTTTCATGAAAGGATTTGGCTTGCTTAGTAATTTACATTGCCAAACTTAAAATCTTCTAGATTCTTGAATTCCCTTCTTAATCTTCTATGAGCCAACTGTATGGCTTTTGAGTAAGAAATAAACTAATAATTAGCAAATTATTAAAGATTCTCATCTTACTGTGAGTTAACATGAGCCTGAGCCATCTCAGTGTATATCTGGAGAGGATCCAGGGATCATTCTCTTGACATTAAAATAGAAAGGAAGGCCAATGATAAAAACATCCATTATCTCAAGATCTCACTGAGCTCCTGCCTTGTGTAAGCCTGGCCTGGCTGCTGAGAATATGGCAGTGACCACTGAGGGGTTCCTGTCTTCACCATTTACTGGGAGAGGCAAAAATCATGATCAGAGATCCCTCTACCCTCAAAATAGCCAAAAATGTTCTTCCTGGCTGTGTACACTCCCTCCTACCACAGCCTTCACTCTACAGCTTGCTTTCATCCTCCCCCACCCTGTCCTCCAGACACACCTGACCTCTTGCAGTGTCACATCTTCATGCATTTACACATTCTGTTCCATCTGGTTGGCCATCCCAGTCCCCTCTCCTCTGAATTCCCCATTCATTCAGCAAATATTTTTTGAATACTAACCTCTACCAGGGACTGTTTTAGGCATTGAAGATACAATGATGAAGAAAATTGATGAAGTCCTTGCCCTCGTGGAACTTACATTCTAGTACAAAAGACAGACAAATGAATATGTAATATGATAGCAGGTCTACTGTGAAGAAAAATAGCAAGGTGAAGGAATGAAGAGTAAGAAAGTTTCTTCTCAGATAGATTAGCCAGTAAAGGCTTCTCTGAGGATGTGACAATTGATCGAAGACCTGGATGAAATGAGATAGTCTGCCAGGCAGATGTTCCAATGAATAGTACTCCAGGCAGAGGGGACAGTGAGTGCAAGGCTCTGAGGCAGGAACGAGGTTGGCATGTTCAGGAAACAACAGGAAGGCCAGTGGAGCTGCAGAAAAATAAATGAGGGGCAGGGTGGTAATAAGTGCACTCCAGGAGGCGACAGGGAGCAAGTGGAAAACTTTGTCGGCCATAGTCAGGACTTCGGATTTTATTCAGAGTTTAATAGGAAGTCATTGGAGAGTTTTGAGCAGAAGAGACCCTCTCTGACTTGAATTTGTATAAAATCACTCTGGTGGCTCTGTAGAGGATCAGCTGGGCAGGAACAGAAGCAGGGAGAGCAGTTCAAGGCTATTGTAGTCCTATAGGTAAGAGATGAGGGTGGCAGTGGTAGAAATACTGAGAAGCAGTCAGATTCAGGATTTAATCTAAAGATAGAGACAACAGGATTTGTTCAGGGATTCAATGTGTAGGATATTAAAGAGGAAAGCAAAATGCCTAGAGTTTTAGCCTGAGCAACTGGATAGGATGTTGCCATTTACCAAGATAATGAGGAATACAAGAGAAGTAGGTTGGGGTAGGGAGAAGTGAGGGTTCTTGTTTGGACATGCCAAGTTTTGGATGCTATTAGATATCCAAGGGACTTCTCAGGATAATGGGGCTGAGGGTATAAACTAGGAGGGTATATAAAGCCATGGAGCTGGATAAAGTCACCTAAGGAAAGAAAGAAAGAGGAAAGAAGACAGGAAGGCTAAGGACTATGCTCTGGAGCCCTCCAGTATTTAGGGGTAAATGAGAAAGATCCAGCAAAGGAAAGGAAGGAACAACCAGTGAAGTAGGCAGAGACCCAGGCACAGGAATTGTCCTGAAAGCAAGGGAAGAGAATGCCTGGACAGTGGCCATTTATCCTTCACAACTCAGATCAGGTTGTCACCTTCTCCAGAAGGTCTTGCCTGATCCATTCTCCACCCTAGGCTTTGTCAGGAGACCCCTTCTGCCAGGGACTCCTGTAGCACCCATAAGACATACCATACTGTATCGTAGCTGTCAGCTTGCTTGTCTGCCCCACTGAAGGGAAAAGGCGCTTGGTAATTGCTCCTAAAGTGAATGGCTGTGCCCGACTCTGGAGCACACAGAGCAGGCTGGGCCCCTGCTTTCCTGAAGCTTGCCATCCAGTGGGTTAAAGAAGACAAATCCCCCAAATAATTGCGGCCCGACGCTGCTGCTCAGGTGAGTGTCCCATCAAAGGCAGCTGAAAGCCAGGCACTCGCTGAAGGCTGGATTTGAGCTGTACTTTGAGTACTGGCACCCATGCCTCCACCTCCATAGTGGTAGTAGCGGCTGCTGCTAAGTGGTGAGCTCGGTCAGCCCGTCGTCTCTCCTAGTTGAGGGCCACATCGTTCCCTGAGTTTCTTTTCTTATGTTCGTCCAGAAATAAAAATAGTTCTGTATGATGGGGTTTCAGCCCTGGCCTACAATGGTTTAGATCTGTCTGGTGCTTTTTCCCCATATTTGTATGGCACATAAGTTTTCAGCAGTTCTTAAACCGTGTTAAAAGAATCAAGGTTTGAGCTACCCTACCTAGTCCATCGAAGGAAAGATGATCTTGCCTCAAAAACCATCCATCTGAAAGACTCCTTAGATATTAAGAGATAGCAGGAGAATAATAAGGTTACGGTCTCTGAGGTCTAATATAACAAACATTGATAGCCCCTGAGAAAGATTCAGAAGGAGTCTGAATTGGTAGTTCTCATTTGAGTCAAAACCTTTAGTCTGTTACCTAAAGAAGATATCTCTCAGGTTCCTTCTGTTTTTAAGGTGTGATCCTTTGACTTTCGAACACTTACAGATAAGGAGCTATTGCCAACCAGCCCTTTCCACCTCAGGCTCAGAGGGCCTTGGGACTGTGCGGGGAGGTAGATGATCATTAAGAGGTAGCCTGTGGCATCATTCATAAGCTTGTTTCTGTAGGAAAATGACCTTGTAGAACCCAACTCACTTATAACTCGGAGACCATCTGTATGGGGCTTTCCATTTTGATGGATTGGCCTATTTGTAGTTACTGTATAGAGTCTTAGATAATTGCAGGAACATCCCTTAGTATCCACTTTTAAAACCGTAGGTCATACCCATTACTTCACTATAGAGACTGCACTTGCATCCAACATATTGCATGCCCAGTCTACCTTGGCTTACTTTCATTAGCTAGTAGTAACTAAACATTTTAGCCATTTCTTTCCATAACCTAGCAGGGGAGACCATTGCTAAAACTTGACTTCCTAATTCCCACAATTGTAGCCTCTTGAGAAACTTTACCAAGCTCATGATTGGAGTAGTCAAGGAGGCCTCCTCAGTCCCAGCTCAAAGGAAGACCCTTTTACAAGGATCAGGATGCACCCATCCTGTGTGGCTATCATGAGACATTACATCTCTTCTTCTCCAACTAGCTATCTTCTTCCCCAGCCACCCTAACAACCTACCTCCTGTGCCAGGTCAGTGTCCGCAGGCATGATGAGAAGAATGAGATGAAACTATAACCTCCTTCCTCAATTTGAAGGCCTTTGAACCATGAGACAGCCTTGGGTTGTGAGCGCTAGGCCCCCCATGCACCTTCTAATCAACACCTGAAGGCCTCTCCCTGGGTCAGTTTTCCTCTTAGCTTCCCAGAACCCTCAGTGTCCTCCCCAGTGTCCTGCAGCACCAGCTAAAAACCTGCATGGCAGTAGGAGAAAGTAAAGAATTCCGGATCCATCATGGCCAAATGCCAGTGACAAAGGGGAAACTATAGAATGTCACTGCAGCAGGTGGAAGGACAAGAGCAGCCCTTCCTAAGAGAACCTCAGGAAGAGGAATGTAGCCAGCATGGGTTTGAAGTTATCTGCTGACCACAGATCTCTGCCCCTTACGGTATTCGCCCAGCTGGGCTCACCCGAGTTCCCTTTGGGGACCTTTTTAGACCCCCCCATTACCATCTTTGAGCCACAGGATTTTTGCCTTAATTAACACTTCAGAGAGGATGGCTAACAGGAACTTTGTGATTTCAGGGCAAAAATGGCACTGCAGCAGTACCTGGCGTGATGGGAGCGCCCCGGGCACCTGCAAGCATCCCCCGTCCTTGTTCAAGGAAGTACAGGAACTAGCCTCATTTGATTCCTTCTATTTGCACAAGTCACCTTGGACTGCAGGGAGCTGTTTTGCAAAAGCAATTTGGTAGGCTTAGATCTCAAATTCATCTTGAGAACATTTTTTTGAGGTAGTAATTTCCTCAGAGGACTATTGTGTTTTGTTTTTTTTTCTGAGCTACCTGGACTCTTTATTAGAACAATCAATCATTTTCCTTTGGACCTACAATTTTTTGCCTATGCTGCAGCCACTTTGTGAGTGAGAATGAATGTGTCTCAGCACACATAGGTGTGTGTGTGTGTGTGTGTGTGTGTGTGCGCGCACGTGGGTCAGAATGAATGGATGTGTGTGTGTGAGGGATACCTCAAATTTTTCTTTTCTTATTTTGTGTGAAAATCTCTTTTCTACAGATTTTCCAGGGTTTAAGCATTGCTTGCTGTATAAAAAACTTTACTGAATTATATACAGTTTGAATGAAATGTTATTTTAAAAACAAAACAATTGTTAAGTGTTCCATAAAGGTTATGTTGAATTTTGGTCAGATGAATATTTGTAAGTAAAAAATATATGCATTTCTGAACCTCAACTTACATAGATTTTCTTTATAAAAAAAAAAAAAAAGGTTGGCTGTAGTTGGCCTGGAGTAACAGGCATGATATATGGTGCTGTGCAAAATAGTAAGCTAGCATCTTACTGCCGTCAATATCAGCAGGTACAGAGCCTCTTTTCAGCTTAATTCAATAAGCTCTCAGGCTTCCAAGTCAGATGGACAGGGTGGAGTGGAGTGAGGCAACAAATTCACCATAGGATTTTTGAACCATCAAGGGGAAATATAACTACTGATAGTGAAAGCCCAGCCCTGACTCTGGCAGGCTACACTTGGCAGGAACTGGGCACCAAGAGCCTCCCAACGGCCCTAAATCCTGCCATTGGTGTAGCGATATCTGGCAGGATTTAGAGCCAGTCATGGAACCTTATGCTCAAACTAAAGTAGGTCATCCACTTCCTGGAAACAGAGTCCGATCACCTTGTGCTTCCTGAAATAGCATATATCACTGTGAAACTAAAGAATGCTCTACAGATTCCCCTGTAGAAAGAAGCGAAGAACAGGATAGTTTATTCTCTTAGCTATACTCAGCTAAAATTCTACTAGTCACTCAGGACTGCTATTCAGTGTGCTTTTGTAAAATGAGATCAAAATTTGAGTAAGACATGTGGCTAAGATCTTTTCCTTCATGAAGCCCAAAGCACTGAAGTTTGAGCGAGGGAAAGGGACTCTCCCCAGAGGATGGAAGATGGCTTCTTGTACCGCCAGTGCTCCTTCACCCTTCTGCAGCCCTTAGCTTGGCACCTGGCTCCAGCTTCTGGGGCAGCTTCAAGGTGAACTCCACAGAGGTTGCTCTTGACTGTTTGGAGGAACAACCAGCCTGCCTTTCCCTTTGCTAACAGAAGTTCAGAGGCATTGCGGCCCAGAATCGAGGTCTGTGGCGCAGAAGCTTGCCATGAGTGTGTGCCACTGGCAGAGTCCCAAGCCTACCAGCCACTCCTGATGGGGTTGCGCACACCGAGGCCACCCCATCACCAGCCTGCACCTTCCTTGGAGGATTTAAATATGTTTGATTGCAAATGAATGTTTTTAAGTGTATTTAATGCAATTTTTCCTGTTCTCAACATGACCACCCAAGATCCAAACACAGAGATTTCCAAGTTGTTTTTGTTTTTTCCCAGAACATCACCAATTTAAAAATCTGTCACAACAGGGACTTGGGTTTTGTGCGGCCATCAGAGTGCTAATGTGAGAAGGCCAGTTTAAAAAGAATCGAGTTTATTGGGAATAAAGCCTTATTTAGGCCCACTCATTGACACTTCTAGTACTGAGAAAATATCCTTGGTTGGCATTTGTAACACAAACACAATAGAGTTGGTGTTTAAAAGTACCAGGTAAATATTAAGGAAACCAATAATGAATTGCTGAGACAATCTTGAACCCAGATAGCATTAGAAAGCTGAAAGCCCAATGAAGTAACACTTCCACACTTAAACTCTGTGGATAAATCTTGCCTGTGGCTATAAACAGATGGTCAAAGAAAAAGTGCTTTACTATAATTAACTTTTCTGATTTGAATGAAGGAAAATGTATTTATTAAAACAAAGCTGTTTGCTGCTTTAGGCAGGTGCAGTGTTCAGTCAGCAAGGAAGTGGGAGGAATGGGGCGTGGTCTGTGTCTCCACCCGAATCCTTCACTAAGCTTCTCGCTCTCTCTAATACTGCATTCTGTTTCTCCTTTTGTGCCCTGATTGTAACCCAAAATTTATGAACTAGAAAAGAATGTCCAATTTAATAAGTTGCATTTTTTTTTCTTAAGCACTTTATGCAGAACAATACATGTTCTTCTGGTAGTGTTTGGATAATATGATTTTAACACATGCTAATAAAAGCCAAGAAAAAATCATGGCAACTTCTAAAAAGGAGTCTGTTTTCCGAATGTCTAGAACATTAGGAAACATTGGAAGATAATGTGTCCCAGCTTTTGGAACTTACGATTCTTGGTGAATAAGAGGCCAGGGAGTGACTTTGCATTTCAGAGTGGGGGCCGGTGCCCTGTGGTAGCCATAGCTATGCTGTCAGGGGCATCTGCAGCAGTCTGGGAACCCCTCTCCTTGGCCTCCTGAAGTCTAGCAGACCTTTTACAGGCGGCCACTCCCAGCCACCAGGACCTCCCCAGTGTTGTGTCCACTGTCTCCATCCTCTCCTCAGCCCCTTACGTACGCCATGCTTCCACTGCCACTACTCCCTGGCCTCAGGCCCAGAATTCGGCGGATGACCAGCAGCCCCATGCACAAGCCACTGCTCCCCTTTGCAAGGATGCCCAGGTGCTCTTCACGGACTGCACACTCCTTCTTCTCCCATCTCTAAAATGTAGAGAAGCACCTCTTTCCTCTTGGCCTCCCTAGAAACAGAAAGCCAAGGACATCTACCCTGGAGCGTGAGGGCTGGGGAGAGAGCGTGGGGGGTGGTGAGGTGGTTGGCAGGGGAGGGAATTCCCTTGCCACAGGGCAAACATGAAAATGAGACCTGGGAAATGGGAGACTGACCCCAGATTCTAATGGAGAGCTGACAGGAGGAGGTTCCAACACGTTGCCACCTGGGATAGGGGCTGGTGCTGCCCCAGCCCTGCTCCTTTGCACATTTCTCCTGATTGTTGGGCAGAGAGGCCTGTGTCCATTTCCAGCATGAGGGTAGTTTTGGTTTACTCCCTGGCTTCTGGGAAAACTGGGAACCCTTGCCTCAAGGGCCACATCATGGCCACGTAGTCACCTTTCCTCCCTGTATTTATGCAGCCCCTGACTCCTGGCCTTGGCTCTGCTGGGCAGTTGGCCCTCTCGCTAAGTGGAGAGCCAGAGCCAGTCATTAGAAAGGAACCACCCTCTTTATTTCATGCAGTAGGGCCTGCCTTCCACCCTATCAGGCATTCACACCCAGGAGCTGAGAAGTCTTAATGCCCAAAACAGTACCCATCCTGCGTGCCCTGGTTTGCTTCCATTGTAGGAAGCCAGGCCCAGGGCCTCTGCTAAGGAGTTCATCCTCAGAGTGGGCTGACATTTTAGCCACTCTCACGAGGCTTCTCTCCCCCAACACCCCCCTCCCCCGCACCCCTATTACTTCTGCTTTGAACCTTCCAGACTCTAAGAAATGCTCTACCAAGTTATAGATGGAAGTATGTGTCCCCGCTTCTCCTCCTCTAGTGCCCCTCCTGCCTTCCCCTCTCCCAGCTCCACCACTCCCAGCTACTTCCTGGGGAGGCTTAAAGGTCATCACAGCAACACGCATCACCCCTACAGTCTCAGTTCCACCACCTACTCTATCTCTCCCCCCACTGCTTTCAGAGGCCTTGGGCAAACCATTTCTCATCTCTCCACTGATGGAAGATCTTTGGCTTCTCAGCTTCTGGGGAGATCAGATAGCAGTCAGCGGGGTGCACCCCCAAATAGCTCATTCAGAGCCACACAACACCTGTGTGTGTAGAAGAGGTGCAGGGTTCTAATGCCCCTGCTCCTCCAAGGCATTGAATCCCCCTCTTGAGCCCACTCACAAAGGGAAGAGCACAGCCCCATGGTGGGCTGAGTATCTGGAGGTCTGGAACAGTGGATTCAATTTTCCTGACATCCTGTCAGGGAGGGACCCTCTGAGTACATTGTTTCTCATGGAGGTCAGTACAGATGCTAATGAATACAACGGGCATGCATGTTCGCATTTAAAGGTGACAGTCATGGGGAATGCAGCCACCCACCCAGCGTCACAGGCCTTGCTCCCCACTTCACACAGCCTGACTCATCCTTCCGTCCCCAGTGCCAGCATAGCATTGGCATAAAGAGTCATGCACCCATGAAGAGCAGTCTTCTGGGAGCTAACTGTGCATTTAAAGAACTTCAAGTCGTAGAGCAGAGTCTTCTGGAGAAAACCAGCAAATGAAAGGAAATCGCTAACATTTGCCTTGGGGAGTAAAACACGGCCTTTTCCTCAGAGAGGAAAATGGATGCCTGGGCTTAGTGAATTTTCAAATGGACCAAAGAGCAAACTAGCAGGAGGGAGTGGCTATCCATGTTACTATTCACAGGGGTAATAATAGTTACTTTTTATTGAAAACCCGCTGTGAAATTTTCAACCTCAAGGGCACAGCCATGGAAGGATGGGCTCAACCAGGTGATGTAGCGAAAGCTGGAGGCAACTTGGCTCCACTGGGAGCTCTCAGACTTTAAAATTAGGCAGTAGCCAGAATCAGAAACCAAAGAAACGGGAAGGGAGCATCAAGAAAATCAGATGAACCCTGGTTCCAAATGTAACTCCCAAGCATTTCTTTATGAACACGGCCTGATTCATGGAGAACCTCAGGTGGCCAACTGGGCAGTGTTGCAGGACTGTCCCCGTGACTGGGTAGGCAGCAGGAAGATTAAAGCCAATTTCTGTCTGCCTCCACGTCCATATGCCTGGAAGTGTTATAGTCAATCTTTTTGCACTGTTTTCAAGTTCATAGTTACCAACTTGAACTCTAAACTTGTTTAGTCCACAAAGTAGATTTATTATTAGGGAAACACTGTCCTGTGTAACTCAGTATCCCCTGAGATGTCCCCATATCACGCCAGGGTAAAATAATGGATGTCCATTTATTTTATAAAATCCCAGAGGTAGCAAAAAACAAAAGCAAAAAACTGTATTCTATATACTGTTTAATAAGGCAAGAAAGTATATACTATTCTTATTGTTCATGAGACATAGCTAAACCAAAAAAGTATTGGTGCTGAAAAGAGTAAGTTCCGATTCTGGAGCTTTCCTATGTGTAGCTGATTCGAGTGTACTGACATTTCATCTCCTGGCCTTGCCCCTGGTCACATGTTCTGGACGAGCAGCCCAGCCTCTCAGTCCGTGTCCTCAGGGAATCGTACCTCAGTGGGGGCCGCCGCTCCTTCAGCCCCGTGGCCTGTGGGACGACAGATGTTCTGCAGGACTTCCGAAACGTAGCCCTGTGCCCGTCCTCTGTCCCACTCACCATCCACAAAACAGCAGGAAAAGGGGATCTAAGTACATCACAATGAAGTGAGGGGTCAGGGTGGAAGGGACAGCAGAGAAAGGTCCTAATACATGTGTTCTGGACCAGGAATTAAAAATTAGGAGAATGAGGGGCACCTGGCTGGCTTGGTTGATGGAGCATGAGACTCGATCTTGGGGTTGTGAGTTTGAGCCCCACGTTGGGTGTGGAGATTACTTAAAAATAAAACCTTTAAAAAAAAATCGGGAGAATGAGTAATTTGTTGAGGACTTAATATGTGTCAGGCCCCAGGCTAAGAATTTCAATATCCTTTGTGTCCTTCCATCTTCACAGCAGCCCTGTGAGGAAGATCCCTGTTGTGGAGATGTTGTTATGGGGCTAATAATGGGTCTGTCATACGGGGCTAATAATGAGTCTGTCAATATCTCCATTTCACAGATGAGGGACCTGGGGCCCAGAAAGGTAACTTTCCCAAGGCTATTCAGCTGACAACTAGCGGAGCCAGGATTCCAAACCCAGGATGGTCTTGTCTCCAGTGCCCTTGAGCCCTGACCCTTAGCAGAGACAGTGATGGGTAAGTTGGAAGCACACTGTGCTCCTGACAACTGAGGAGGACTGACACATCAAACAAATGAGCAGCACATCAGCACCCCGACAAGGCTGCTTCAGAATCATGCTCTCAGGAGGCTGGCTATTTATCCCTGGGATGTGTCTGGGCTCAGACCCCTGTGGAACTGTCCGCTTCGCTCATTATCACCTGGGGCCCAAACGTCAGGCTCGGGATCTCCCAACACTCTCCTCAGCAGCTCTGATGAGTATTCCCCAGCCGGGCCACTCTCCTCCTTCCCCAGACTGGGCCCTGAGTTATTCTACTTGTCTCCAATCGCCCCCCAAAGGATGAAGACGTGCCATGACCCTGGACACATAAGGAAATGCATCAGGGGAGCTCTGTGAGGGCAGGTCCCTCAAGGAAAGCAGGCCCCGGTCACCAGAGTGAGATTTCCTCCCAGCAGGGGAATGGCTTTGAAGAACCACACACATCACACACTTGCATGTGTCAAACTGGGTCTCTTTGATCCTTATAAAGCCACACTTCCGTGCTCTCTCTACTCTACACCCCACCGCCGCACCCAGCTTGCCCCTCAGCTGGCAGCAGGCAGCCACAAGGATTGAATGAGGGCCGGCTTGGGCCAGCTCCTGTGCCATCTTCCATTGCCCTCAGGCCACCTATTCTTACTCAGCTGGATTCAGATCTTGAGGAGACTGTGAACATAGCAAACATTTAGGTGAATATATTGGTTAAAATCCAAACATTTGTGCACAAGTGTGTTGTTACCATTTCAGATCTACATGCAGTCTTCTCCCAGGAATCCCACCCTCACATCCTTTGCTTTTTCCCAGGATACTCACCCCCTGGCCCCTCCCACCTCACCTCAAGCTCAGACCACGGATACCCAACTCGGCAGCAGGAGCATCATAGGCCAGGCCTAGTTCTACTTGTGGAGTGGGGTAAGTCACATGCACTCTGGACCCCTTGGGTTTCTCACCCAGATTTGGAGGTGGAGATGACCTAGCACACTTCTCCCAAAATGTGGGGGCTGAGGGATACAAGAGTCACAGCAGGCTCAGGGCCCTTTTGTATAATGCTCCACTGCCCAGCAACCCCACCAAGGGCCTGGCGTGGGGTGTGTGAAGCACAGAGGAAATGAGGAAGTGACCTCTGGCCTCTAAGTGGCTTTGAAGCAGGATTCCAGAAAGCTAGTTACATTTTCCCAGTGGTTTCCACAAGAAAATGCAAAGTAACTTTGCAATGAAAATATGACTCCAAAGTAAGAATGCAGCAAAAAAAAAAAAAAAAAAAAAAAAAGAAGTATTAAAAAGCAACATCATTACTCTGTGAAAACACAGAACAGATCAGGACTGCTACTAAAGTTATATAATTATAGGCCCCTCTTTTTCAAGTAGGACCTTCTTAGATTGAAGACTCAGTTACCACATAGTTATTATCAACCCCCACCAAATACTAACTGCAGATTTAATAAAGAACCAAAACGGCCTTGATGACTTACCCAGAGAGGCTTCTAGAACTTCGTCTGAAAACTTAAAAGTGGGGAAGAGCAAGGCCAGTTCCCGGCTGGCGGCATCTCTGTCCTGGCTTCCATGGACCGCATTAAAGGGCATTTCTGTGCCGAACTGAGCACGGAGACTGCGAACATCGGTAAAATGCACAAGAAACAATCGTTTCATTTGCAAAGAAACATTTTGCTCTCCGGCAACATGGGCACCAGCAACCAGTTAGCACCCCGTGTTTCTGTGAAATGGCTTTCTCTCCGTTGGAAATGCCAAGAACAACAAGGACAGTAGCTGACATCTATTCCATCGTGATGTTGGGTGTTCTGGGCAGGTTGCCAGGTACTTCACATACATGATCCTGTTTCATTTGCGCCACAGCTCTGTGAAGGACACTCTGTCACGATTCTCAGTTTAAATGCGCACGAGTCACGGCGCAAGCTCGGGAGCTCCCATTTTGGTGCTATCACTACCAGGGACTAGCACCCTGCCAAGAGCTCGAGGGTGTGCATCGTTAATTCCTCAATATCCCCATAAGATAATACTAATATTGCCAGGGCTTCCTTTGTGTCAAGCACTGTTCCAAGGGTTTCATATGTATATATACATATATATACATATGTAAGTACATATGCTCATTTAATCCTCACATCAATGTTTGAGGCATTGTACTACCCATTTTTCAGATGAAGACATTGAGGCACAGAGAGATTAATTCATGGCCCTAGGAAGTGCTCTTAACAACACTCAGTGGCATCCCAGGATAGGTGTCATAACCCCATTTTACAGATGAGAGAACTGAGGCTCAGAGAAAGGACTTACCTGAGTCTGTGGTTAGCTAGGATCTGAACCCTAGGCTGTCTTACTAGCCCCACGTATGAATGTCCTGGCCCCCTACAACTGCAGGGTACAACTGCAGTTACTTAGTCTCTTGCTCATTTCTTTCCTGGTGGCTGGGGCTCTCTCAGCTTCAAAGGCAAGACACAGTGAATTTGGCATTGGTGACGCCAGGCTAAATACAGGGCCAAGGCAGCCTAATGCAGAATGCAGAACCAGGTGCTCAGACTCTAGGGGGCCTGAGAACACCCTGGGTGGGGAGGAGAGTGGAGAGAGTTGAGTCTACAATGCAGATCCCTAGGCCCTGCCCAGAGTCTCTGACTTGGCAGACTTTACTGGGACCCTGCAATCCGTATTTCCTGGACGAGTGTTGCATGTGTTTTCTGGGACCACACTATGGAACCCTCTTAACTATAGGACTGGATCAGAGGGTGAAGATAGCGGGGTCTCCGCAAATAGATAACAAAGAGGTCAGAGTCTCTCCAAATATACATAATATACATAAATATACATAATATACATAAAATATATACATAAAAGGGGGTTTGGGGGCTGAATATAGAGCAGGGCTCTTGGCTTCCTAGGTTTTGAGATAAATGAAAAGAACACAGCTGGTGACATCACCTGTCAGGCTGCTCCCTCCTTGCCACATCAGGGTCACAGGGCCCCATGAGCGTTCGCCAGGCAGCGGTCACGTCCTCTGTGCCCTCAGGCTTGGTGAGGATCAGGAGGTGGCTTGGTCCACTGCACATGTGATGTACCAGCTTCTCAAATGCCTCCTAGCACAGTGAGAGGAAATGGTGACCCAGGGCAGGGGTCCTGGGGCCTATAGTGGGTCAGCGGGCCCTCCCACCCTCAGTGAGTAGCCTTGCCACAGGCCAGCGTGCCCATGGAGGGCCCAGGGAGGGGTGGTGGTGATGACCAGCCACACCCAGAGAACCCAGATAAAGGCAAAGGCAGGAAAATGAGACTTTGAGTTGACTTGTTTGGGGCTGAGTGAGAGACTATAACAAGCTAGGTAGGGACATGTGTGGAAACCATGTGGATGCTGGATAACCATTGGGTGCGATGTAGCTAAGACTTATTTTTTGCAATGCCTTGCAACCCTTCCTGCTCCTTCAAGTAGCAGTACTCTGGTTTTCCTTTGGGGAGCAGCTCTTCCCCATTTCACTTGGCCTAGTCTGGCTGACAACCATGACGCCCCCCCACCCCCTCCACCCTCACCAAACACACACACCTCACCTGAGAGGTAGGGCTATGACCAAGCTAGGTCCACTAGGCCTCCGTCCCAAGTAGGGGAGTCAGAAGCAGAAGCACGTGGAAAGTGGTTGAATCTGAGTTGTCCAACAGCAGCACCTAAAGTGACTGTTCATGGGATTCTGCTCCTAAGGTCCCTACGACTGTCTTGGTTCTTTTTTTTTAAGATTTTATTTATTTGACAGCGATAGACACAGCGAGAGAGGGAACACAAGCAGGGGGAGTGGGAGAGGGAGAAGCAGGCTTCCCACGGAGCAGGGAGCCCGATGCGGGCCTCGATCCCAGGACCCTGGGATCATGACCTGAGCTGAAGGCAGCTGCTTAACGACTGAGCCACCCAAGCACCCCGACTGTTTTGGTTCTTCTCCCTAACACCTTCTTGTTCAACTCCTTCAACTATCTTCTTCAGTTCTGGGAGCTATGGAGTATCCTTCCAATAAATTCTTTATGTCATTACTTAAGTTAGAATCAAAATCTCTTCCTTGCAACCAGAGAACTTTTTACCTGATACAGACTATAATCATTATTCTGAGAGCAAATTCATGGCCTTCTTGCTGTTCCTATTCTTGTTCTTTGTAATACTCTATTTTCTCCCAAACTAACATCAATCTATAAACATAATATTGGAGAAAGAGAAAGAAATGAGAGTGTGTCTGACGTGTGGAAGCAGATGATCTGACCTCCCCAGCTTTGTGTTGATAGAAAAGTTGCACTTCTGCCTCTGTCATGGTTCTCTCTTCATTTGCTAAAATGTCAAAACCGGCTTCGTGGATCTGTAAAATGTACATATATTGTGAAAGGGTAAATCAAGCCCAAATTCACATTCAAATGTGCTGAAAAGTAAAAGAGAATGGGAAAGATAACATCAAAAGCAGCAAAGACCCTCACCCTCATCGTATCTGTCCCAAACGGATTTAAAATGTTTCGTTGACTTAACTGGAATTTTGGTTGGAGCTCCTCAGAAGCCTCCTTTTCCCACTAGCACACTGTTGTTCGATGCCCCGCCCCTGCTTTTCCACCAGAGGAGACCTGAAGGCAGTCTGTCCGGGAAGCATTGTCTCTCTTACCTTCATCATAATCTCATCGGTCTTTCCGTGGACCACTGCGTCTGGCTTAATGATGGCCAAGGTGCAGGTCTTCCCCGATGAAGCTGCGGTAGGGGTGGGGAGGGAGAGCAGGGAGATCAGAGACTACTCAGGAGCAGAGCCCCAGCAACAACTGGAAGAGTCAGCTCGGAGCTGGGGAGAGCTGGAGCAGAGGCAACACGGGCCTGGCCTCTCTCATGCCTTCCTGTCACCTCCCCTGATTCCGAGCCTCCAGCTGTTGTCTACTGTGTTCTCCCCTTTCTCCACTGGCTCCTTCACCAGAGCTTCTTTTTTAACTTTTCTGGCATATGGGCAGTAATGACTGCCCCAGGCCCTGAGTCTGTATGACTTTTCAGCACCAGCACGTTCTCCTGAGGGAAGATCAGACTGGCCAGTTCGTTATGTGGAGCCAAGGTACCAGTCATAGCTCCCTGAACAGTGTCCTGATGGCTGTCCTTTGGTCAGTGCCCATAGGACCAATCAGCTGTGGCGACGAGGGAGGTGGCACGTGATTGTAGTCCCTGCTCAGGCCTGTAGGGGGCCCGGTGTCCAGTCTATAAGCCCAGCCCTACTGTACTCCTGTTTGTATCAACTTGACCTTGGTGAGCATCCTACACTCCCCACAGACTCTGTACCCCCCATAGCCTACTTTCTGTTCTCAACCTTTATCTCAGTTGTGTGGCAGTGAAACGTGACCACATCTGCCTTTGAGGAGAACTTCCTACTCTGAAAATCTCAAAAACTTGTGTACTGCAAAAATGTGAATCATTTTAAGCAACAAATCTATCCATTTTTCTTATTTCTAATGTCCCATGAATCCTTAGTGTTTAAGGGACTCTTAAAAGGAAATCCCTTATACGTTGACCCATTAATGAGATCCCCTAGAGGTGCGGGGTGAGAAGAGAAGAGGCCAGATCAGGGCCCAGAGAATTCCAGCTTGAAAGGGGAGCAAATGAGAAAAGGCCAATGAAGGGGAGGCTGTGGAGAGGCCAGAGACATAGAAGGAAAACGAGAAAGGTCATGACATCTCAGAAACCAAAAGAGACCAGGGTTTGGAGAAGGAAGGCACTGTCAACATCATCCAAGTCCTCAGAGAGAGGCTGTAGGATATGACTGGACACTGTGTGTTGAATTTGGCACCAAAAAGGTCAGTGGTGTCCCATGAGCACCAGGGAGCAGGTCAGGCAGGAGCTGAAGGTGAGGGGTGCCCAAGGAGTATGGGAGCTCAGGAAGTTTGGGCATGGAAGGAAGGAAGGCTAAGGGCAAGGGCAGGCTTTTAGGTTATTTTCTAGGTGGAGAGTCTTGATTTGAGAGGAGATAATGATGGAGGGAAGAGGAGATCATCCAAATAAGGAGGTAACAAATGTTTCCTGCAGAGGCCAGAACACTGATTTTTTCACACTTGAAGTGTTTTTGCTCTCCGAACTGTGCCTCTTTCCTTGTTAGAATCCAACTCAGTTCTCATTATCCCCACACGAATAAACAGCCTCTCGGCTTCACGCAGTAATAAAAATCTTCCTTCTCCTTACAACTTCGTTCCTGAACTTAATGCTGGTTCCCCCTAGCGTCTCAGTTACTGTCACAAGCCACCTTCTGACTTCTGGCTTTCCTGCTATCAGGTCAAGTTGTTCTTCCCATAGTAAAGGTTCAGGAAGAACTATGACCCCTGACTTTTGGACCCTTCAGAAAAAGGTGAAAAAAAGAAATGAGCTCTTTAGCTCAAATGAAGACTAAGGAAACACCAGCATCATCACTTGAAATTCTACCTTCCTTTTTATTAAAGTGGGGCTTTTCCTGATGCGGGGTAATAGCCCCAAAAGTCATACTTGTGATACTTGAGCATGATCAGAAAGCTGCAAAAAGTACCTACAATGTCAAGAAAGGGCAGAAGGGAGATTGGGCACTGTATGTTTGTAGTCAGGTGACTGGAAACCGAATGTTTCATGGTTAATCTTCCCAGAATTCAGATTGCCCAAATCACTGGTTACTCATATGCTTTGCCTTTTCATCTTGCTCACTGGTTCTGCACTCACCCATGCCATCATCTTCACCATTGTCCTTGTCATGGGAGAGGCATCCATCTTCATCAGACAGAGCCTCGTCTCTAATCTAGAGCAACACATGGATCATGAACAGAAAGTAGTTAACTAATTAAAATTACCACAAAGACATCCAGCAACCGACAGAAGCCAAAAAAGAAAAAAAAAAAAGCAAAGGCCCGAAATGCAGAGCCAGGAAAAGGGGGTCAAGAGCATCAGCCTTGGAAACTTTACAAGACCCTTTTTAGTTGCTGGATGACGGTGGAGGTGAGGAAGGAAATCCATGCTGACTTTAAGGTACAGATTCGGCCCATTTCCACAAGCATCAAGTAGAAAAGATGAAGTAGGGAGTCGGCCAGAAGACAAAGGAAGAAGTGACATACAAGGAGATACTTATCAACTGGCCTCCCCAGGCAACGTTAGTCATGAAGACAGACATCATCTCCCCCTGGAGGGGGCACAAGCAGGTGTGATTTTCGGAGAAAAATATGATGGATTCTAAGCCGTTCTATAAAAACAGGGCTTCGCTATTTGGAAGTGAATATGAAAACTTGAACAATGAATACTGAACAATGTGAGGCTCATTGGACAGAAGCTCAAAGCACCAGGAAATGCCTCTCTCTATCTGAGGTAGTGTCATTGTTCGATGGCAGCCAAATTTTTGTGAGAAACTTTGTAGTCTATGCTGTCATGGAAATAATTTATCAAAATCATAAGCTATGCTGATCCTATTGCTTGTGTGAATGACAGGACTTAATTTCTAAATTAAACGATCCCTCGGGGATTACAAGTAAAACTTTCAGGTATGGAAAGCGAGGGCAAGTCACCAGGAGAGAGCTCACGGTGAGGCTGACTTCTACCCACTACTCTACTCCATAACTTTATATTCATTTCTGAACGTATTGTCAGGGTTCCAGAAACCCCTGTTAAGAATTGAAGCAGGGGATGAACGGGAAATGGATAAGAGAAGTTCAAGTGCTCTAGATGAAGGGGGCAACTTCTTAAAAGAAGTTTTTAAAATGCATGTATGGGCACCTGTGTGGCTCAGTCGGTTAAGCATCAGCCTTTGGCTCAGGTCATGATCCCAGGGTTCTGGGATTGAGCCTGGGATCGAGCCCCGCATCGGGCTCCCTGCTCAGAGGGAAGCCTGCTTCTCCCTCTCCTACTCCCCCTGCTTGTGTTCCCTCTCTTGCTGTCTCTCTGTCAAATAAATAAATAAAATCCAAAATAAAATGCATGTATGTCCTCGTGGGCACTGCCTCCCCCTGAGCCCTCGGGTGGGCATTTAACAGCACTTGCCACTGAGCGCTCCAGGAAGACTGGTGGGACCGGGAGACACCGAGCTCGGCGCTGGTGGAAGCACTCCTTACCCCTTTCCGCTCGCGGCCTTCGGCCAGCACCTTCTTCTCAGCCTCCAGCTGCTCTCGGATGGTTTTCTGCAGCAGCGGGGCATTGGCTCCTCTCACCACGGCCACCAGTTCTCCCCCCTAGAACACAGAACACACACGCTACCCAAACCGCTTGAACTCTTCTTCACAGATCTTCATCTCTTTGAAGGGCCAGCGAGTGTCCAAGAGCTTTGCTTAGGCGTGTGCCCTAGGCCGAGGCTGCCATCCACCCCTCTGCCTTCTACCCCATGCCTCTCCTTTCAGAGCTGCCTCCAGGGAAACAGGGAGTTAATTAAGGGAGGAGAGGGGCAACGAGGTTGTGGGTGACTAAGGGTGGCCTAGAGGTGGTTCATCCACTTGACAAATACCTATTGAGCACTTACTCTGCCAAGCCCCAAGACAGAGGCAAAGAATATGAACAGTCAGCATGAAAAGCCAGAGTTGCCTGCTTCAGGGAACGGGAAGCCAAGTGGGGAGAGAGGTGGTCATATCAAAGAAACAATTACAATAGAGTAAGATTATTGCTTTAAGAGGGGGAACGTACAGGATGCTTGGCATTCAGGGCAAGAATGGATCCCAGTTCGGTCCGGGGGGGTCAGCGGAGACTTCATTCACAGCGGAGCTGGTGTTTGGGGCCACTGAGTCTCAGCTTTAACCTTTCCAGCAGTCAGTCTCTGCCTATTACTCACAGAAGTTGGTGGAGAGTGGGCCCTCCCCTGTTCCCACCCCGCCCCGCAGGGGGCCCACCTCAGGGTGGGAGGCTGTGATGGAGCCCGACGCCTTGGCACCTGCTCCCACACAGTCCAGTATGATTTATGCCTTCATCACTACAGGCTCAAGCAAGCAAACCACTGTGGCAGCGATCGCATTTCTGCGCCTGTGGCCCACTGTCACTTTGGCTCCTTTCCACTTCTCCCTCCATCCTCACCCATTTTTCAGCATCTAACTCCAGTCTTCTGTCAAGAATCAACACCCAAATGATGTTTGCCATAGGCTTCCAGTCTGTGATACTTGCAGTGCTGTGGGCAGGAATCTGAAGGTTTCCAAAGTGAACAACCCTGGCCTGGCTGTCAGGAGAGGTGGGCAGGTAGGCCTCAGTTTCCCCTGACTGGATGAGGAGGGGCTGCAGTCAGGAATAGCATATCTGTTGCTAGCCTTTGAAGCCTGGCAGGTGACCTAAGCTAGGAAGCCAGGTGTGAGGCAGTGGGCCCTGAGGGGCATGGGGCCAGAGCATGGATGTCACACCCCAAGACATCCAAACTATCTTTCAGAACACAGAACTACTTGGTTTTCCTCAACAGTCCCTTTCATTTCTGAATTTCTGTAAACATATCTTCACATCTTAGGATTAAATAAAAGTGAGTGTGGAGCTTGTCTACGCCATTAGAGTATGTGTGCTGAAAGCTTCCCTCTACAGAGCGAAGGTCAGAAATCTTGAAACCTTGTGCTCTGACTGTGAAGCATCAGTCAAGAGTGCCCATGAGCCAGAAGGAACAGACACTTTTGAGTGACTCCCATTCTTTCACGTGTACAGCAAATCAGGAAGGCTGCCGAGTCCAGGGTGACCCTCGGGAGCTGTGTCATCCCAGGCCTCCCAGCCAGCGAGCAGTGCCACCGTCCGAGGCAGGGACCTGCATTACCAGGACTTAAGTATGCCTTTCCTTACCCCAGATAACAAATGCAGTCAAGGAGGAAACAATCCCTTGTTTGGATCAGTGAATCTTCTTGGTGACTTTCAGGGAGACGCCTCTAGCAGAACCCTGATGATCTGCAATAGTTCTGGGTCTGGTTCTGCAGATGTACTTACCGCATAAAACAGAAAGGTCGGCTCACACCTCCCTCGGTACTTTTCAAGGGCATCAAGACAATCTGCTTCTGCCTAAAGAAAACAAGCTGTCAGGAGGGGCCTGGGGTGCCAGGGATGCAAGGGCATGATGGTGGGCGACCACACAGGACAATACCCACACAGACACACACACCCCACATATACACACACAGACCCCATAAACAGCACACACACGTACACACACACACGCAAGCACACACCCTCTCCACACACACTTTGCCTTCTGTGTCTGAGAAGCCCTGTGCGGGGGCAGGCATTGCTGCCACACGCCCTCCCCAGAAGGGTCAGAACTGATTCCCCTTGAAGAAAGTGCAGAGTCCTTGAGAGGTCAGCGTGGGTGAATTTTCTCCTGTGTTCCGCCTAGGAACCTCTAATCCAAGTGTCTCTCGCACACTTCTCTGGAATTTATTCCCATTTCCATACATTCATCCAAGGAAATACTGGCCAGAAATTCCCCATGATGGAGGAGAGCATAAAAATCTTGGAACTCTGTGCTCTGAGAGTTAAGACTTCAGAGTCCCCACTGTTCATGAGCCAGAAGGAGCATGCATGTCAGGTGACGCGCACCCCTTCCCTGTGCACAGGGTCAAGAAATGCCTGAGCTCAGAGCTAGGGGTGGGGTAGGAATCTTTTATCTCTAAAGAAACTATAAGGCATCATAACTGATGACCCAAAATTTCACAACCGATGCCTTTTCAATGATCTGGAAAAAAGGCACCTCATGCTTCCTGTCCCCCCTTTTAAATGTTTAATTATTTTACAGTGTCGTGTGACATTCTCCTGAGAGAGGATCTTACTAATGCAAAATGCAGAAGGTCCAGGCCAACCTCCATCCTCATCTTCTGGAAGAGGCTCACCACAGGTTTGCAGGGCCCACACCAGCCTTGATAGACGTCAACAACTGTGTGGAACCAAGATGCAGGAACAGTCAGCGGGCACGAGCACTCACCATGTCAGGCAAAATTTATACCTGCCAACTCTAACTCCTCTCCAGTGCACGTCTGTTTGCAGGGTTATTTAATGGTTCAAGGGATTTATTCTCCCCTTGGAATAGGGTCGAGCAGGGAAACACATCCACCCCTCATTCTTACGAACTCAGGGTTCTGAATTCTAAACAGAATGAAGTAAGTGTGGTAGAAAACAGTTTTCTTTATGGATCTTTTACCTGCAGTCATTTTCAGGCTACGTTCACGGTCAGGCTGGTACAGAGTGGCCCTCAATAAATATTGGAATTGTACTAAGATTATCTATTCTAAAAGAGGTCACAGTAGGCGGCCTGTCAGCACACAATCAACTCATAGCTGCTTTGATGATAAACACAGTTTTGACATTTTCCCCTGATGGATTAAAAGCCACTTCTTTGGATAAAGGAGAGTTTTATTTACTTTATAAAATCAACATTGTTCTCCTGAAAAGTGTACCTGATAGAGACCTAGATGGTAACTTGGCTACTTTTTTCTTCATCAGTCCCAGTCTATGGAGTGTGCCAGGATAGGGAGTGAGGGAACCCTCTAGTCTGATCGCATGAGGCCCCAGGGCCTGTGGGAAAGCGAAGCAAAGCTAAGCCAACACATGTCTACCAGATACATGCAGGACGTGTCCAGCCCCATCATGACGACACAGCTGGTGCTAGACTGTGTGAAGTTCAAAGACAGTCTAGTAACTAACCCAAGGTACAAAAGAAAAATTAAATTCTCAAGCGGTAGAATCTAGTTTTAAACCCAGCTTCGTCTGAGTGCATGCTCTTTCAACTACTCCAGGAAAGAAGATGCATGGATTCAGGAGTGTTGGTTAGTTTCACCAAGCAACATAGTTTTGCAGGGAGAAAGTGAGAACCAAGTTGGGTATGGGAGGGATGAGGAAGCCAGGCACAGGGGAGCAGTGGATGTGGGAGGGAAGGAAGGGAGGAATCCACAAGACTTTGAAAGGGAAGGGAAAGATGGCGGGGGGGTGAAAGTCACATGGGTGTGCAAAGGACTCTACCTTGGAGCCTGGCAGAGGAAAAGAACTGGGTGGTGGCAGGGAGAGATCATTTGCGGGAAGGAGAAATGTCAGCTAGGTTCTAGACATGCTGGGTTTCCAGTTTGAGCAAGAGAATCTAAGGCCAGTGGTCTCAAAGGCAACCAGGTACCAGCAGAGGAGACAGATTTGGGCCTCCTGGGCACCCATGTGGAGGACAAAGCTCCAGGTTTCGCTGAGGACAACAGCTTTACACTGGAGGGGCCTGGGGATTTCAATATACCAGGGAGGTGTAATGGGGGAGGAAGGCATTTGGGTCAAGCCAGGGAAAAGTCTTTGAAGACCTCAAGGGCCTGTGTTTGGGCCCACCAAGGAAAGCAGGTTCACACCCCACTGGGGAGAAAATGGGACCCAATTAGCTACCAACCTCTCTACAGGATTTGCACCCATAGTTCAGCTTCCCATCTCCCCTCGTAGTCCCTGGCTCTCTGAGCAGTGGTGGGGCAAGGGCATACTTCACAGGTTATGGGGCAGAGAGCAAGACTGGAGAGGAAGTGTATCAAGAGTTACAAAGCAAAACAGAGAAGACATCGGGAAGGAAAGAAATGGCAGAGAAAATGAAAAGGTATGTGTGCACACGTGCCCGTGTAAACCTGAATAGACTTGCCTATTTGAAGGCAGGTGAAAATGAGCCAGCAGAAGGTAAGACTTCCAAGATGGTGGTTGACTTTGGAAGCAAATGTTTGCTGGCTCTAGAAAGAAGGAAGAAGGAATCTTCCTCGAGACTGCCCGCTAAGAAGGGGAGGACGAGCCCCTGCTGGCCCCAGGATTCCCTGGCATGCGTAGAGCAGGCTTGGCAGAGTCCACACCCAGCAGATGTCAGCTGTGATCACCTAGGGTGCAAAACGTGATGAGGTGGTAGTTTTCTTATTGCCGTTAAAGAAATAGAAGTAATGGTTGTTTTGCCCTAGAGCCATGTTTCAGTTGCACAGACGAGGAGACCTGCAGACAAAATAGTTGAGGCCTGGCACCATCAAAAAAGCTGTGTGATCCCTCAGGTAGTAGAATGTGGCAAGACTCCCACCACGCTGCCAGGTCAGTGCTACTGGCACTCTGCCCCAGGCCTGGGCAAGTCGGCTAGAGACGGAGATGAAGAGGACAATGCCCCTGGGTGCAGAGTTTAGGGGGAAAGCTACAAGTGCTCCTCCAGACAGGGGCCACACCAAACTGGGTGTGTGCTGGGGGGAGAGGGGGAGACAGAGTCCCACCCCAAATGCCCAGGCGACTTCCAAGGGGAAGTGACCACGCAGAGGTTCTAGAAAGATTTCAGGCAAGGAGGCCGCTGCCTTCTGGAGCTGGCCCTGGGAATGAGGGAGACATCTCCAGCTTATGAGGGGGTCATGATATTCCAGGGAGCAGGGACAACATGGATAAAAGTGAAGAAGTGGGGAAACTTGTGGCACGTTCAGGAAACAGACTGGAGCTCAGGACATATCTCAGGGAACGGTGGGTGAAGGGGCTGGAAAGACAAACTGAGTCATGGGGGAGGAGAGGGGCAGGGGCCTTGTTCAAGGCTGAAGTCACTCGGTGCGGGTGGCGCTGGGGAGAGATAAGAGCAGACACAAGCTGGCTGAGCAGGTGTATTTATAGGGAGAAGAACTGAGAGGATACAGAGAGAGGAAGGGAGCCCAGAGATACGCACAGTCAATGAAACGAGAAAGGAACTGTAGTGGCAGGTGTGGCAGGCAGCCTCTAAGAGGCCAGGGGGAAGTCCTGCCTCCTGGGATGTAACCCCCTGCCCTTAAGGGCAGGCCGGACCTAGAGACAGGCTTCTAACAACGGAGTAGGGCAAAGTGATGGGATGTCACTTTTCAGATTCAGTTACAGAAAGACTTTGACTTGCATATGTCTCTCCCTCCCCCTCTGCCCCCCTTCCTCTGGGGGAAGAAAGTTACTGTGTTGCAAGTAGCTTTATGGAGAAACTGATAGCAAGAACTTGATGTCTCTGGCCAACAGCCAGCAGGGCCCGGAGTCCAGCCAACAGCCTCGTGAATGAAGTTGGAAATGACCTTCTAAGATCTGTCAGAGCCACATGACCGAGCTTAGAAGCAAATTGGACTTCAGTTGAGCTTTGACATTCCCTGTCTTACTCCTTAACCGCAGCCTGGTGAGAGACCCCAAACCAGAGACACCCCAAACCAGAGGTGAAGCAACACCTGGATTCCAACCCCACAGAAACTGTGGGATAATAAATGTTCATTTTGGGGGGCACCTGGGTGGCCCATTTGACTAAGTATCTGCCTTCGGCTCAGGTCATGATCTCAGGGTCCTGGGATCGAGTTCTGCGTCGGGCTCCCTGCTCAGTGGGGAGTCTGTTCCTCCCTCTGTGCTCTCTCGCTCTCTCAAATAAATAAATAAAATCTTTAAAAAAAAATAAATGTTCGGGGAGCCTGAGTGGCTCAGTCGGTTAAGCGGCTGCCTTCAGCTCAGGTCATGATCCCAGGGTCCTGGGATTGAGCCCCATGTCCGGCTCCCTGCTCAGCAGAGAACCTGCTTCTCCCTCTCCTTCTGCCTGCCACTCTGCCTACTTGTGCTCTCTACCTCTCTGTCAAATAAATAAATAAAATCTAAAAAATAAATAAATAAATAAGTAAGTAAATAAATAAATAAATGTTCATTTTTTTAAAAAACTACTAAGTAAATTGCAGTCGATAACATACAAGAGGATAGGGACCAGGAGGCCCAAAGGACAGTGGCTATGCTGTGTCCTAATGACGGTGCAGTCCCTGGTTCCAGCCCCTTGGGGTGCCTCGCTCTCCTTCCAGCCCCTGCGTTCCAAGAGATCCCCATATTCCTTCCGGCACGTTCCCCCTTATGCCTCAGGTGGTCAGAAGAGGTTTTCATTCCTTCACACCCAACAACCCTTGGGTCGGACAGTCAGCTCTGAGACAAGGGAGCCCTGTGACCTGGCAGTCCTGACTGTTTTCCCGAGCTGAATGTACTAACAGATGTGCAAGTCGGATAGACACACACACACAAAGAAATGACCTGGTTCTTCATTTAAGAAACTCAAGATAGGAAAATGGTGCTCCTGGCAGCTTTTCTCTTCCTGGTTCAGTATGCCATGTAGCAATTTTGAAAAGGCTGGATCTAAAAACTTATCTGAAATTACCAGTTAGTCCTTTGGAACTGAGCATTTCTTCCCAAAGCTCCTGGGTGCTGATGTTAACCTAACATCAAAGAAGAACAAAGGCTGTGTTACTGAGGGCATGGATGGGGAAAGGATTCGATGTATTTGCTCCAGATACCTACCTACCTACCCCTTGCTACCTCCCTTCTCTCCCTCTCTCCCTCTCCCCTCACCTCCCTCCCTCCCTCTCTGAAATAGGTACAAATACAGCTCAAGCTGTCTTCTTTCCGCAATCTGCCTTTCTCCTCCTGTCTCTTCCTGCCTCCAGTCCCCCACAAATAACCGCTAACCTAAGAAAATCTCAGTCATTTTTTAAAAATAATTTTTTCTTGTTACTTGTCCAAAAAAATAATATATAAAATTGTTTTGTGTCCATAATATGTACATAAATAATATCATACTATAGAGATCTTTTTGCAATTTTTGTTCTCACTCAAATCCAGTTTTGACATTTATCTAGATTCATATACAGAGAGATATTCATTCATTTTTTTCTTTTGGTCTTTTTACGTGTTCTAGAGATATATAATTTATATACAGTGAAATACACAGAACTAAAGTGTTGCAGTTCGCCGAGTTTTGGCAAATGCACACAACCCAGGTCACCACACCCCTATCACAATACAGAACTTTCCTGTCATCCCCGAAAGTTCCTCTGCCTCCTCCCGGTCACCCCTGCTCCTCACCCCAGGTGAAC